CTTCCTTCCTTCCCTTTTGTTCTTCCCTCTTTCCTCCCTCCCTCCTTCCCTCTCTCTCTTTCTCCTTCCTTCCTTCCTTCCTTCCTTCCCTTTTGTCTCTCCTTCCTTCCCTCTTTCCTCCCTCCCTCCTTCCCCCTCTCTCTTTCTCCTTCCTTCCTTCTCTTTTGTCTTTCCAACCACAGTTTGGGGGTCCTCCTGGACTCAGCGTTGATGCTTGATGCTCAGGTGTCGGCGGTGGCCGGGAGGGCCTTTGCACAGTTAAAACTTGTGCACCAGCTGTGACCGTACCTCAAGAAGTCTGACTTGACCATGGTGTTCCATGCCTTATTTACCTCAAGATTGGACTACTGTAATGCACTCTACCTAGGGTTGCCCTTGAAGATGGTTCGGAAATGACAACTGGTGCAAAGGTCAGATTGTTAACTGGAGTAGTCAACCCCCTGTTTAAACAGCCCCACAGGCTACTGATAAGTTTCCGGTCCCAATTCAAGGTGCAGGTTATTACCTATAGAGCTCTAAATGGTTTAGGACCTGCTTATCTTTGTGACCGCATCCTCCCCTACGAGTCCACACGGTCCTTAAGATCTTCTGGGGATGCTCTTCTCTCGCTCCCGCCCCCGTCTCAGGGGCGGTTGGTGGGGACGAGAGCATTCTCGGTGGTGGCCCCTCGTCTCTGGAACTCCCTCGCCAGGGAGATTAGGCTAGCACCCTCCCTATCCACATCCCGTAAGGAACTAAAGACGTAGATGTTTCGTTGTTCATTCGACTGACTCCTGTGACAGATGATCTGAATCATGACCTGAATCCAAATTTCTATATTTCATTACTACGTTTTTACGTTAAACTGAACTGATCCCATTTAATTGCTCTATTTCTATGCTATTTCCTATGCTACTATACATTTCTATCCACCTTATTGACCACCCTATCCTTTAACTAGTCTCGCATATTGCCCCCCCCCTCCGAAAATGAGTCCGTTGTTGCTTTTGATGCTTGTTTGTTATTGTTTACGCTATTTTAATATGTTTTTGTTCTGTTTTTAATTGTATGTTGCCTTGGGCTTGGCCCCATGGAAGCCGCCCTGAGTATTTTCAAGGAGATGGAGGCGGGGAAGAAAAATAAACAACTACTTCTTCTCCTTCTCCTTCCCTTCTCTTCCTTCCTTCCTTCCTTCCTTCCTTCCTTCCTTCTCTCTTTCCTCCCTCCCTCTCATACATATTTCTCCCTCCCTCCTTCCTTCTCTTCCACCCTTTCGTCCTTCGTTCCTTCCCTCTTTCCACCCTCCCTCCTTCCCCCTCTCTCTTTCTCCTTCCTTCCTTCCTTCCTTCCTTCCTTCCTTCCTTCCTTCCTTCCTTCTTTCCTTCCTTCCCTTTTGTCTTTCCTTCATTCTCTCTTTACTCCCTCCTTGCCTTCTCTCCATTCCCTTCCACCCTTTCTTCCTTCTCGTTTTCCTTCCTCTTTTACTCCTTGGGGATGTTTAGCTGGGAGAAGAGAAGGTACAGAGGGAACATGAGAACCATGTTTCAAGATTTCAAAGGGTGTCCCATTGAGGAGGCGGGGGGAACTGACTCTAGAGACCAGGGCACAAGGGAGCAAAGGGTTCAAATGGCAGGGAAAGAGATTCGACTGAAAAGATTAGAAACTTCCTGAGAGTGAGAGCTGTTGGAGAGTGGCAGAGGCTGCCTGGGAGTGTGGTGGAGTCTCCTTCTCTGGAGGCTTTTTCGCAGAGGATGTCTATTGGGAGTGCTTTGGTTGTGCATGGCAGGGGGTTGGACTGGATGGTCCTTGGGGGTCTCTTCCAGCTCTAGGATTCTAGGATTCTAATATATCAGGAGTAGGCAATACAGGGTCCCATTAATACACTTTTTCTCTCCTGTCCACCATGTCATCCTGATCCTTTTTGGGATCCAAACGTTTCCTGTCTTTCCTTCACTTTCTGCCTCCGAAAGAGAAGAGGAAGGGGAGGAAGGGACAGCGAGGGGACTTGGGGAGAACCCACTCTTTCCTGGCTCGGCCGCCCCACTCTGGCTTGCCATACAACCCCCAAGTTAGAAAGTGTGCCCATGCCTGCTGTAGATCTTCGGAAGCTGTTTCTTGATGCAAGACATTGGCGTGCTGGCTGATATCCGAACAGAGGTTGGGCCGGAGATGTCAATGCCTTGGTCCTTTCATTATTGGATGCTACTTCCCAACGGATGCCAGGTGGCGTGATACTGGCTAAACAGTGTAATTTCTCCAGCAGTGTAGGGTGTAGACATCCTGTGATAATGCGACATGTTTCACTGTTTTAACGTGGCAAGATGTCTTCCACACTGGGCATGCGTACTCAGCAGCAGAGTAGCAAAGCACAAGAGCAGATGTCTTCACTGTGTCTGGTTGTGATCACCAGGTTGTGCCAGTCAGCTTTCGTATGATGTTGTTTCTAGTGCCCATTTTTTGCTTGATAGCCGAGCAGGACTTCTTATAAGCCAGAGCACGGTCCAGGGTAACTCCCACGTGTTTGGGTGTGCTGCAACACTCCAGTGGGATTCCTTCCCAGGTCATCCTCGGACCTCGAGATGCTTGTTTGCTCTTAAGGTGAAAAGCACACGTCTGCATTTTAGTTGGATTAGGAATCAGCTGGTTTTCTCTGAAATAGGCAGTAAGAGCACCTCAAGCAGCATTTCTCAACCTGGGTATCGGGACCCCTGAGGGGGGCCACAAGGGGGTTGTCAGAGAGGTCACTAAAGACTATCAGAAAACACAGTATTTTCTGTTAGTCATGGGTGTTCTGCATGGGAAGTTTGGCCCAATTCACTCGTTGTTGAGTTCAAAATGCTCTTTCATTGTAGGTGAACTATAAATCCCAGCAACTACACAGATAGAATCATAGAATCATAGAGTTGGAAGAGACCTCATGGGCCATCCAGTCCAACCCCCTGCCAAGAAGCAGGAATATTGCATTCAAAGCACCCCTGACAGATGGCCATCTAGCCTCTGTTTAAAAGCTTCCAAAGAAGGAGCCTCCACTACACTCCAGGGCAGAGAGTTCCACTGCTGAACGGCTCTCAGTCAGGAAGTTCTTCCTCATGTTCAGATGGAATCTCCTTTCTTGCAGTTTGAAGCCATTGTTCCGCATCCTAGTCATTCTGTATCTTTGCATTTCATTTTTTCTGCCTAAGAGCAGTATCTTGCATTTGTAACAACTCAAAAATGTCAAGGAAGCAGAAAACAAGCTTGCTCCCTGCGGCTTCCTCTCACATATTTATACATGGCTATAATATCGCCTCTCAGCCTTCTCTTCTTCAGGCTAAACATGCCCAGCTCTTTAAGCCACTCCTCATAGGGCTTGTTCTCCAGACCCTTGATCATTTTAGTCGCCCTCCTCTGGACACATTCCAACTTCTCAATATCTCTCTTGAATTGTGGTGCCCAGAATTGGACACAATATTCCAGGTGTGGTCTAACCAAAGCAGCATAGAGGGGGAGCATGACTTCCCTAGATCTAGCCCCTATGCTCCTATTGATGCAGGCCAAAATCCCATTGGCATTTTTGCAGCCACATCACATTGTTGGCTCATGTTTAACTTGCTGTCCATGTGAGGACTCCAAGATCTTTTTCACATGTACTGCTATTGAGCCAGGCATCGTCCCCCATTCTGTATCTTTGCATTTCATTTTTTCTGCCTAAGAGCAGCGTCTTGCATTTGTAACAACTCACAAATGTCTATTTTCTCCAAGCTCCTGTAAAAATGTATTGCACTCATTTAATCTGGACCTCAGCTATCTTTCTTTCAGCCGTATTCTTTTTATATTGCTTTCTATTGTGTTGTTATTTGTTTTATCTGATGTTTTAATTGGTTAAAGTGTTTTACATGTGTGTTTTAATTGTAATCTTGGGGGTGTCCCTTGTAAGCCACCCCGAGTCCCCTAGAGGAGATGGTTGACGGGGTATAAAAATAAAGTTAGTATTATTATTAATGTTGACATTTGGGCATATTGAGAATTCATGCCAAGTTTGGTCCAAATCCATCATTGTTTGAGTCCACACTGCTCTCTGGACGGAGGTGAACTAAAACTCCAAAACTCAAGGTCAATGCCCACCAAACCCTTCCAGTATTTTCTGTTGGTCATGGGAGTTCTGCATGCAAAGTTTGGTTCAGTTCTATGCTCTTTGATTGTAGGTGAACTATAAATCCCAGCAACTACAACTCACAAATGTGAAGGTCTATTTCCCCCAAACTCCACCGGTGTTCACATTTGTGCGTACTGAGTATCCATGTCAAGTTTGGTCCAAATCCATCATTGTTTGAGTCCACACTGCTCTCTGTATGTAGGTGAACTACAACTCCCATACTCAAGGTCAATGTCCACCAAGCCCTTCCAGTATTTTCTGTGCATCACGGGAGTTCTGTGAGCCAAGTTTGGTTCAAGTCCATCGTTGGTGGTGCTCAGAATGCTCTTTGATTGTAGATGAACTATAAATCCCAGGAATTACAATTCCCAAATGACAAAATCAATCCCCTCACAACCCCACTAGTATTCAAATTTGGGCATATCGGATATTTGTGCCAAACTGGTCCAGTGAATGAAAATAGATACTGCATATCAGATACTTACATTACGATTCATAACCGTAGCAAAATTAAAGTTATGAAGTAGCAACAAAAGTAATGTTATGGTTGCGGGTCACCACAACATGAGGAGCTGTATTAAGGGTTAAGGCATTAGGAAGATTGAGAACCATTGACTTAAAGCTTTGGAGAGCTTCTGTTCAACCCTTTCAAAGCTCCCTGCTTGAGTGGTGATGGCATGATCGTCAGCATAGATGAAACTCTCTGTCCCTTCTGGCAGTGGCTGGTCATTTGTGGAAATGTTCAACGTTGATGGAGCAAGCACGCTTCTCTGAGGCAGGCCGTTCTCCTGTTTCCACCAGAACTTTGAGGCGAGTTGTATTCTCAGCTTTTGGGGGGTTTGTGCCTCACTTTCACTGTTTGTGTTTGTGGCGGGGGGTTCCGCAGGTCACACCGTCCTCCACCCGGCTGCTCTTCCGCACCGAGAGGCACGTCCCCAAGCTTGGCGTGATGCTGGTCGGCTGGGGAGGCAACAACGGGACCACAGTGACGGCCGCGGTGCTGGCCAACAAGCTAGGCCTCACCTGGATGACCAAGTCCGGCCCCAAGGTGAGTTGACTTGCCGGCGCGCATTTGCAGGAAGTCCAAGAAACCACTTATCTACCTGGTAGGGTGAGGCCCCACGGCTGTGCGGTTTCCATGGGTCGCATCCAGAATCCAAATCCTCCATTTGGTATAGTTAATTCTTCACAGGCAAAGTCTTAACAATGTCCTTCGCAATTGAGGGAGGCCCAGACTCACTCTTCTCCACTCACAGTTGGTCAAGGAAGGTACGGACAAAGTTAGGATTTGACCCAAACGGTCATACTGAAGATGTTTAGTTTGGAGAAGACACAGTTGACGCAAGAGCCATGTTTACGTAGTTGTCCCATTGGAGAGGAAGGGGGCAAGCTGGCTTTCTGTTAGAGACCAGGACACAATAGAGCCATGGATTCCAAATAATTATAATAATAATAATAATAATAATAATAATAATAATAATAATAATATTTTATTTATACCCGGCCTCCATCTCCCCAAGGGACTCGGAGCGGCATACATGAGGCCAAGCCCAACAACACATCAATAAACAAGAAAGCAATAAACAAATAATAACAACAGTACGGTTAAATAAATCACATGTAAACATGGCAGGAAAAGAGAGATTCCACTAAACCGCCTGATAGTAGGAGCCAATTGACAAGGGAATACATATTTCAGAGGTTTTTAAGCAGTGACTAGATAACCATCTGTTGGGAGTGTTTTGATGGTGTTTTCCTTCCTGGCCGAATGGCGGTTGGACTGGGTGGCCTCTCAGGGTCTCTTCCAACTCTAGGATTCTGTGATTCGAACGAGGGATGGCCATCTGTCAGGAGGCCTTTGAGGGTGTCTTTCTTTCAGGCAGAATGAGGATGGGCTAGATGGCATCTTGGAGGTCTCTTCCATCACTAGGATTCTGATTGAGAGGCAGGATGGTCATCTGTCAGGAGGGCTTTGATGGTGTCTTCCTTCATGAGAGAATGAGGATGGACTGGATGGCCTCTTGGGGGTCTCTTCCATCACTAGGATTCTACGATTGAGAAGAAGGATGGCCATCTGTTGAGAGGGCTTGGATAGTGTCTTCCTTCCAGGCAGAATGAGGATTGACTAGGTCTTGGGGATCTCTTCCAAGTCTAAGGTTCTATGATTGAGAGGAAGGCTGGTCATCTCTCGGGAAGGCTTTGATGGTGTATTCATACCTGACCAAATAGGGAGGGACCGGATGGCCTTTTGGGGGTCTCTTCCAACTCTAAGATTCTATGATTCGAAGGAGGGATGGTCACCTGTCGGAAGGGTTTTGATAATGTCTTCCTTCCTGACAGAATGGAGATGGACTGGAAGACCTCATGGGGGGTCTCTTCCAACTCTAAGATTCTATGATTGAGAAGAAGGAGGGTCATCTGTCAGGAGGGCTTTGATGGTGTCTACCTTCATGAGAGAATGGGGGTGGACTCGATAACTTCTTAGGGGTCTCTTCCAACACTAGGATTCTATGATTTACAGGAAGGATGATAATCTGTCAGGAGGGCTTTGATGGTGTCTTCCTTCCTGGCAGAATGGAGATGGACTGGAAGACCTCATGGGGGGTCTCTTCCAACTCTAAGATTCTATGATTGAGAAGAAGGAGGGTCATCTGTCAGGAGGGCTTTGATGGTGTCTACCTTCATGAGAGAATGGGGGTGGACTCGATAACTTCTTAGGGGTCTCTTCCAACACTAGGATTCTATGATTCACAGGAAGGATGATCATCTGTCAGGAGGGCTTTGATGGTGTCTTCCTTCCTGGCAGAATGGGGATGGACTGGAAGACCTCATGGGGGGTATCTTCCAACTCTAAGATTCTATGATTGAGGAGAAGGAGGGTCATCTGTCAGGAGGGCTTTGATGGTGTCTTCCTTCATGAGAGAATGGGGATGGACTTGGTGACTTCTTGGGGGTCTCACCCTCCATTCTACTTCTGTGAATGGAGCGAATTCCCGAATGCATTCTGTGTCCAAATAATGTCCCGTTTCCCTTTGCCCGCAGCGCGCCAACTACTACGGCTCCCTCCTGCAATCCTCCACTGTCTGCTTGGGCAACGGCCCCGGGGGTGAAGTCTACATCCCTTTCCGCGACCTGCTCCCTATGGTGCACCCCAACGACATCGTCTTCGACGGTAAGGGCCTTGTGTGGGGGTGCGAGGGGACGATGGGAAGGCTGTCCTTAGAATAATCACTTTATAGAGCAGAGTATCTTTATTGTCATTGTACATCGTACAACGAAATTAAATGCCATCCCTAATATCTATATATATAAATCTGTTAGGTTGGTTCAACCGGACAGCAAAACTCCACAACCCCCCAACGAAACTGTACCAAAATTGCCATGCCCATAACACAACCCACAAGGTACAAACATATCTACTCAAAATGAAAAACAACACAACAACACACTCACAAAACGGCAAAACAACAAAACTCAAAAAACCCCACGAAACTTAACCAAAATTCCCATGCCCATAACACAACTCACAAGGTACAAACATATCTACTCAAAATGAAAAACAACACAACAACACACTCACAAAACGGCAAAACAACAAAAATCACAAACCCCCCAACGAAACTTAACCAAAATTCCCATGCCCATAACACAACCCACAAGGTACAAACATATCTACTCAAAATGAAAAACAACACAACAACACACTCACAAAACGGCAAAACAACAAAACTCAAAACCCCCCAACGAAACGTAACCAAAATTCCCATGCCCATAACACAACCCACAAGGTACAAACATATCTACTCAAAATGAAAAACAACACAACAACACACTCACAAAAGAGCAAAACAACAAAGCATGCACATTGGTGCCCAGCCGCAAGTTCCCTGGCGCGCGCACACAGTTCCCTCTGCGGAAGCCATGCCCACTCCAAGCCCCGCCGCGCCGCTTCCCGCACACACACACCCCGCCGCACGCACACACACAACCCCACGCTCCATCACTCCCCCCGCCGCACACACACACGCAACCCCACGCTCCATCACTCCCCCCACCGCCACACACACACGCGCAACCCCACTCCCCCCGCTGCCGCACACACACACGCAACCCCACGCTCCATCACTCCCCCCACCGCCACACACACACACGCAACCCCACTCCCCCCGCTGCCGCACACACACACGCAACCCCACGCTCCATCACTCGCCTGCCCCAATCTTACCTCCTTTTACTTCACGCCACCTCCAAACCCCACCCCGCCCCTTCCCGCCCTGTCAAAATCCAGGAAAGACAGGAAGGAAGGAAAGAAGGAAGAAAGAGAAAGGGAGATAAAGAAAAAGGGGGAAGGAAGGAAAGTTAGAGAAAGAAGGAAGAAGAAAAGGAAAGAAAAGGAAAGATGGAAGGAAAGAAAAGAGAGACAGCAGAAGAGAAAGAAAAGGGGGAAGGAAGGAAAGAGGTAGAGAAGGAAGAAATGAGAGACAGAGGGAGGGAAAGAAAAAGGGGGGAAGGAAGGAAGGAGAGAAGGAAAGAAAAAAGGGAATGAAGGAAGGAAAGAGGGAGTGAAGGAAGGGGAAGATGTAGAGAAAGAGGGAGGGAAGGAAAGAAGGAAAGAGAGAAGGAAGAAAAGAGACCAGAAGAGAAAGAAAAAGGGGGAAGGAAGGAAGGAGAGAAGGAAAGAAAAAAGGGAATGAAGGAAGGAAAGAGGGAGTGAAGGAAGGGGGAAGATGTAGAGAAAGAGGGAGGGAAGGAAAGAAGGAAAGAGAGAAGGAAGAAAAGAGACCAGAAGAGAAAGAAAAAGGGGGAAGGAAGGAAAGAGATAGAGAAGGAAGAGGAGAAGGAAAGATGGGAGGGAAGGAAGGAAGGAGGGAAAGAAGGAGAGAAAGAGGGAAGGTTGGCCACAGCAACGCGTGACGGGTAAAGGTTGTTATTTCTATGATTATTATGATGCTATTATTCCTATGAGACCCTTTTAGGGGGAATGGGAGAGGTGTCAGGTCCCAGAGGCAATGCATTGCATTATTGTTATTGTTATGATGGTGGTGAAATAAAAGGAAATAAAAAGAGAAAGAAGGAAGCAAACAGGGAGGGAAGAAAGGCAAAGGAAGAAAGGGGGAGGGAATGAAGGAAAGAGAGAAGGATGAAACCAAGTAGTGAAAGAAGGAAAGAAAGAAAGAGGTAGAGAAGGAAGAAAGGAGAGAAAGGGGGAGGAAAAGGGGGAAGGAATAGGTAGGTACCTCTCTTTCATAATAGTCCAGATATCTACCTCAACTTTGATAAGTTTTACTATAGGCCACAGCAACGCGTGGCAGGGCACAGCTAGTGCATTATAAATGTAGAATTACAAAAACAAAGCACCCATCTTTCCAGGTACTGAAGACACTGCAAATCCCATCATCTGTGGTGCATCCTCACCAGGACATAAAGTGCATCATAGGGAGTCTGTGTGCCAAATTTGGTCCAGGTGCATCATTTGTGGAGGCCGTGGTGGTTTCTGGAAGTGAGCGAAGTTACAAGTCCCATCATCCATGGTGCTAACTCTTCCAAACCGCACCAGGCTTTAGAGTGGGTCATGGGGACTCTGTGTGACAAGTTTGCTCCTGATCTGTCATTGGTCGGGGGGTCGCAGTGATCTCAGGAAGTGAGTGAAGGTATTGCAAGTCCCATCGTCCATGGTCCGTCCCCCTCCCCACTCACCGGGACAAAAAGCGTGTAATGGAGAGTCTGTGTGGCAAGTTTGATCCAGGTCCATCATGCATGGGGGGTCGCAGTGGTCAGTGGGAGCTGAGTTGGGTGAAGGTACTGCAAATCCCCTCATTCGTGGTCCGTCCTCCTCCAAACTTCACCAGCACCACTCTGATCACTATTGCGCATCACTGTGAAACCTTAGAGTTCAATATAGAATCAACACACTCTCTCTCTCAGCCTATTTGTCCTTGTGTTTTATCCTCCTATCCCGTCTGCCAGATTGTAACAATAATATTCCAAAGTAATATCCAGGTTGAGATGAACACTGGTGGAGTTTGGGGAAAATAGACCTTGACATTTGGGAGTTGTAGTTGCTGGGATTTATAGTTCACCTACAATCAAAGAGCATTCTGAACCCAACAACGAGAGAATTGGGCCAAACTTCCCACACAGAACCCCCATGACTAACAGAAAATACTGTGTTTTCTGAACCAAACTTTGCACGCAGAACGCACACAGAGTTTGGGAGTTGTAGTTGACCTACATCCAGAGAGCACTGTGGACTCAAACAATGATGAATCTAGACTAAACTTGGCATGGATACTCAATATGCCCAAATAAGAACAATGGTGGAGTTTGGGGAAAATAGACTTTGTTATTTGGGAGTTGTAGTTGTTGGGATTTATAGTTCACCTACAATCCAAGAGCATTCTGAACTCCACCAACGATGCAATTGAACCAAACTTTGCATGCAGAACTCCCATGACCAACAAAAAATACTGGAAGGGTCTGGTGGGCATGGACCTTGTATTTGGGAGTTGTAGTTCACCTACATCCAGAGAGCACTGTGGACTCAAACAATGATGGATCTAGACCAAACTTGGCATGGATACTCAATATGCCCAAATAAGAACAAGGGTGGAGTTTGGGGGAAATAGACCTTGTTACTTGGGAGTTGTAGTTGCTGGGATTTATAGTTCACCTACAATCCAAGAGCATTCTGAACTCCACCAACGATGCAATTGAACCAAACTTTGTATGCCGAACTCCCATGACCAACAGAAGATACTGGGTCTGGTGGGCATGGACCTTGTGTTTGGGATTTGTAGTTCACCTACATCCAGAGAGCATGGTGGACTCAAAAAATGATGGATTTGTATTCCAGTATTTTCTATTGGTCATTAGAGTTCTGTGTGCCAACTTTGGTTCCATTCCATCGTTGGTGGAATTCAGGATGCTCTCTGATTGTAGGTGAACTATAAATCCCAGCAACTACAACTCCCAAATGACAACATCTATCCCATCCCAACCCCGCCATTATTCATATTTGTCACCCAGCGGCTTAAAACCAGTTTTCATGAACAGTAAAGCACCCAGGGACTTAAAACGGGCTACTTTGGGCCTCTCCTTTCCAGGGTGGGACATCTCCGGCATGAACCTGGCCGAGGCCATGCGCAGGGCCCAGGTCTTGGACTGGCCTTTGCAGGAGCAGCTCCGGCCGCACATGGAAAGCATGCGGCCCCGGCCCTCCATCTATATCCCAGAGTTCATTGCAGCCAACCAGCAAGAGCGGGCCGACAACGTGCTGATGGGGACGAAAGCAGAGCAGGTGAGTGTGCCCTGTAAGCAGGTAAGGACAGCCAGAGGGTGTTTACACTGTTGCTGTTGTTGTTATGTCTATCCTGCTGTATCACTCTTAGAAAGAGACGCCAAGTGGCTAACAATATTGATTGATTGATTGATTGATTGATTAACAGGGACTCAGAATGGATTAAAATGCACATATACATGGCAAATATTCAATGCCATTAAATATACAACATGTATAGACAGACACGGAGGTAATTTAACATTCCAGCTTTCTGGCTTCATGAGGGTATGCTCGATTCCGGCCACAGGGGGAACTTCCGCTTCATCGTCCACTTGTGACACCAAGACCTTGATGGAATACTTCCTCATTCTTACGCACATTGCTGGAAGGCTTTATGGTGTCGTACATTAGTTAAAATAACCTCCCCGCATAAAGTGGTATCTAAATTTCCTACTTGGCAGATGTAACTGTCTTTTGGGCTGCATAAGTCAACAGTAAGCTAGACTATTAATGGTCAGGAGCTCACTCCGACCCAGGCTGTTTTCGAACTCATGACCTCTCGGTCAGTAGTGCTTTAATGCAACAGGCTACTAACTAGATGTGCCACAGTCTGGTCCTTAAAAGCAACACAGTCCTTACGGATTATAGCGTTGCCATCAAGAGGGATATGGAGGGCGGTCACTCTTTGGCCACACATGGAAACACAATAAAAGCCCTCCCAAGAGATGCCCCTCCAAGCTCTGTTTCATAGAAGCATAATAGAATTGGAAAGGCATCTCAAAGGTCATCTAGTCCAATCTTCCTCCCTTCCAGCCAGTCTCTATTGTGAGCTACAACCACTTGGGCAACAACCAGGGATGCAATGTCTCGGCCCCCCAACCCAGTTCCGCTCCAAGGAGGTCTCCATCTTTGGATGGGCATCTTTCAGGAGTGGTTAAGATGAGTCTTATTACATGAACTATCTTGGGTACCCGGCGTTGCCCAGGTTATTTCAAAAAGTCAATTTTTAATTGTACAAAATGCACAAAATTGCACAAAATTGTACAAAAAGTTGTGGGTGAACTACAACTCACATCATGCCAGGCTAACTCCATTAGTCATTAAAGTGTGTTATGTTGGGAAAATTTGCTCAAGATGCATCATCAGTGGGGTTCAGTGTGCTCTCTGGCTGTAGGGTAAACTACAACTCCCACTATGGTGAATCAGTCCCCTCAAACTCTTCCAGTAGGCTGAGTTAATCATGGGGGTTCTGTGTGCCACGTTTGGTCCAAGTCCATCATAGGTGGAAGTCACCGTTTCTCTGGTTGTGGGTGAACTACAACTCCCAGAAAGGAAGGTCAGTTCCCCCCAAGCCCCATCCAGTAATCAAATTTCAGCAAATCATGTATGTGTGCCCAATGACAATAAAGTTAATCCATTTTATGAAGAACCACAGAATAGTGGGATGAAGTGTATTACAGAATGGTGACCCTGTGGCAAACAGAATTTTGGTGGCATCTTTCGGGAGTGCTTGGGTTATGCCTAAGAAGGGTTGGACGAGATGACCTTTGGGGGTACCTTTCCATTCGATTCCATGGCCTTTTAAATTGCCTGGTCATCAGAAAGGATGGTGAGCGCTCTTTTTTTGCTTTTGGGGGGCATTTGTGGACACATCCTCGTGACCAGGCTATAGCACAGCTGGTAAATCACCAGCAGCAGCAATGAGATCCAACTGAAAGGTTGCCAGTTTGAAGCCCGGATTGGTGTGAGCACCTGATTGTCAGCCCAGCTCACTGTTTACCTAAGCAGTTTGAAAACAGTGGAGACCTGTAAGTAATTAGGTACTGCTAAAAAGCGGCGGAAATATTTTACGACAACATAAAAAAAAAAGATCAGAAAATGGCCAGCAACCAGAAGGAAGGATGAAGTCCTGATGGTTCTTCGTCATAGAGGATGGAGCAACAGCACCCCCCTGTGGCTAGATTTGAGCACAACCTCTAAGGCACCGAAAGCTGGACGTCGACACAACATACCTCCTTCCTGTCTGTCCAAACGGCATTGAATGTTTGCCGCATATGTGTGCTGTGATCCGCCCTGAGTCCCCTTGGGGAGATAGGGCGGAATATAAATAAAGTGTTATTTATTATTGTTCGACCTCTTATTTCATATTATTTGCCTGCTGTTCAAAACCACCTTCCTGCCTTGCAGGTTGCCCGAATCCGCCGTGACATCCGCGACTTCAGGAACACTAGTGGGGTGGACAAGGTCATCGTCCTCTGGACAGCCAACACCGAACGTTTCTGTGAAGTCCGGACTGGGCTGAATGACACGGCCGAAAACCTCTTGAGAGCCATTGAGGTGTGTGTATGTGTTTGAGGGAAGGTCTTAGTCACTAAGCCGAACTAGATGGCCTCTAAGGTCCCTTCCGATGATAGATTTCTGAGTCTCCGCTGTCTTTTCTCTTCCTTCCAGTCCGGCTTGGAGGTCTCTCCTTCCACCCTCTTTGCTGTGGCCAGCATTTTGGAGGGTTGTCCCTACATCAATGGGTCTCCCCAAAACACCTTTGTGCCCGGCGCCATCGAACTCGCTGTCCAGCGCCAGGTCTTCATCGCCGGCGACGACTTCAAATCCGGGCAGACGAAGCTCAAGTCTGTGCTGGTGGATTTCCTCGTCAGTTCGGGGATCAAGGTCAGTGAGTCCCTTCACCGTCGCCAAGTTTTTGCTCTAGGCAGGGCGACGAAATTTACTACAGGTTTCCGTCCAAACATTGAAATGTATTACGATCAACAGATCAGACAAAGCAAGTAGACCCAAACAAGCAATATCAATAACAAGATAATCCAAAAAGCAATTAAAAACAGGTAAAAATTCCCGTAAGTTTATGATGTCAATTTTTTTCCAACAAGCAAGCACTGCGGCACAAAAGCCGGCCACTTTAACTGTTACCATTGAGTTCAGTTCTATTGTAAATTCCAAACCTATTGGAAATAACTGCACCATAACTTTATTGAAAAGGTGAAAATGATGTCACATCTATTTGGCAAATGTGAATCTCTATGAACGTGTGGAGACCACCTTTTGAAAACCACTAGTCGAGAAAAGCATGACCTTGTTGGAAGTCAACCCTCTGAACAAGTGATATTCACAAGCATTAATGTAATGACACATGAGAGATGAATTTCAGTCTACATGGAATAAGGCAGTGGCAATCAAAATCGCAACTCTAGGCTTCTCTCAAGGACAACTGCTAGGTATGGGATGGGACCAAGCCAAGGCTCTTATTAGACAACGGATCCTGGATATAGAGCGACAATCAGACTTAGCCTGCTCTCCAGCATTCACCATTAGCGAAGATAACAGATCCCATCACTCCCATGGCTTACTTAGCAAACCTGGAGGTGCCTAAACACCGAAGAGCTTTCACTTTGGCAAGATGCCATGCCCTTCCATCGGCAGTACTGGAGGGGAGGTACCGGAAGACCCCTGCCCGTGTGAGTCTGGCTACATTGAAACAACTGAACATGTGCTCCTCCAATGTGTATTCTATAGAGACATTAGAGATAATTTCATCACTCCATGGCTTTTAAAACATCCAGGGCGCACTGAAAGATACTACACCTCCCTGTTGCTCTCTGCGACAACCTACAGTGTTGCCACGTTCTGTGCAGCAGCAATTAACAGTAGACGGCTGATGACCGACTCCACCAGGCAACTTCCTGCCAGGAATATAGTTAGAATGATTTGTAATAACTGAAACGCTGTAAATGCTCCCCTCTCATCCCTTTTTAGAGCTTCCCAGTTGTCTGATATTTGTTATTAGCCGCCCCCTATTTTAGATTCATACATGCACTTTAAACTGTAAGTTTAGTCTGCTTTTTAACCTGTCTCTTGTATAACATGTATTTAATCTGCTTTTTATCTGACCTACTTGGGAACTGCGATTCCCTTCCTTGGGCACCTGTGCCCCATTTTATACTGTGCTGGTCAAAGACCGTACTAAATCATTGATTGATTGATTGATTAATTGATTGACACATGGGTAACTCAGCTGTTAAACTGAGGAACCATATCTTTTTTATCTTTTAAAATTTTTTATTTACATATATTAACAGTTCGCAGTGTAAACAGAACATGAAACAATGAACATTTTACAAACACATAATCCCCCACCACCAAGGCCTGAACAGGTATTATTATTATTATTATTATTATTATTATTAAACTTTATTTGCACCCTGCTAGCATCTCCCGAAGGACTCGATGCGGCTTACAAAGGCCAAGGCCTCAACACAAAATACAACAATACAAAACCTAAGGCAAATTAAAAGCAATTAAAGCACTATAACAACAAGTGATAAACAATACCCTAAGACACAATAAAACTGGGTCGGGCCAGAGTAATGGGTACAGGATTAAAAGTGCTGATGTGACAGGTGGTATATAAGGCCTATAGGGCAAGTGCAGTGTGCAGTGTGCGGCAATCTTAGTTTTAATAAAGTGCTTATGGGACTTGGTATTGGAGGTTTCCTATTCTGGGAAGGCACATCGGAACAGCCAGGTCTTCAAGTTCTTTCTGAAGACTGCCAATGTAGGGGCCTGTCTAAGATCTTTGGGGAGAGTGTTCCAGAGTCGGGGGGCCACCACAGAAAAGGCCCTGTCTCGTGTCCCCACCAAACGTGCTTGCGACACAGGCGGGATCACGAGCAGGGCCTCTCCAGATGACCGAAGTGAACGTGTGGGTTTGTAGATGGAGATGCGGTCACGCAGGTAGGATGGTCCCAAACCGTTCAGGGCTTTGTAGGTAAGCACCTGCACCTTAAATTGGGCTCGGAAAATAAACGGCAGCCAGTGGAGCTCCTTGAACAGGAGGGTTGACCTCTCTCTGTAAGGGGCCCCAGTTAACATTCTGGCCGCTGCTCGTTGGACCAATTGGAACTGCGGCAGCCCCACATAGAGCACATTGCAGTAGTCCAATCTGGAGGTGACCAAGGCATGGACCTTTCCTTTGTATTGGCGAAGGCTTCCATGGCTGGAATCACTGGGTTGTTGTAGGTTTTTCAGGCCAAATGTTTAAAAAGAACCGTAAAACCTGGCTCTTCCGCTGCGCCTTTGGCGAGTAGGTGCACAACACGACACTGTTGCTCCCCTCATTGCTTCTGTCACTGGAGTATACGCCCCCCAAATGGGAAGTTTAGTTTCACAACCTGGTGTGTCTTTATGAACTCCCTGCAAATAACCTATTTTTATCTCATTAGAGTTTTTAAACATTTTATCCTGTCCATGTGGCTCGCCCACTGTTACTGCAACTGTTTATTGTAATGTTATTTTGTTATTGTATTCATGTTTTTTTTATGTAATTTTGATGATGTTGCTTGTTGTTATGTTTTGGTTTTATTTCAATGTAATATGTTGTCCAGGCTTGGCCCCAAGTAAGCCGCTCCGAGTCCTCATTGGGGAGATGGTGGCGGGGTATAAATAAAGATTATTATTATTATTATTATTATTATTATTATTATTATTATTTGTGTTCTGTGATCCGCCCTGAGTTCCCTTTAGGGTGCGAAGGGTGGAATATAAATAAAATAAATAAATAAATAAAAATATTAAAATGACTTGCTAAAATAAAAGACTGACCACTGTCTCTGAATTCAATACAGCAGCTGCACTTACATGGTATTTCAACTCATTATCTGGTATATTTCCTGTTTTGCTTTCATATATCCCATTGTCAGAATAGTGGTTTGTGAGAAGGCCGAAACTTTCCCATGTCTGATCTAGACCATGTTTCCTCCCTTCCAGCCAGTCTCGATCGTGAGCTACAACCACTTGGGCAACAATGACGGGCGCAATCTCTCGGCCCCGGCCCAGTTCCGCTCCAAGGAGGTCTCCAAGTCTAACGTGGTGGATGACATGGTGGACCTGAACCCAGTGCTCTACGGCCCGGGCGAGCGGCCCGACCACTGTGTGAGTAGGGAGAAGCGGGCGGCGGGGTTCACCCAAATGCATCCAGCTGCTCTTATTATTAAGATTTATTTATGACTAGCTGTACCCACCACACATTGCTATGGCCCACCTTCCCTCCGTCTTTCTCTCCTCCCTTCCCTTTTTCCTTCCTTTCCTCTTTTTCTTTCCCTATCTCTCATCTTTCTTCCATCTCTACCTGTTTCTTTCCTCCCTTTCTTTGCTCTTTGGTTACATCCTTCCTTCCTTCCTTCCTTCCTTCCTTCCTTCCTTCCTTCCTTCCTTCCTTCCTTCCTTCCTTCCTTCCCTATCTTTCGTTCCTTCTCTCATTCCTTCCCTCTCTTTTTCCTTTCACTTTTTTATTTCCTTCTCTCCTTCCTTGCTTCTCCTTCCTTCCTTCCTTCCTTCCTTCCTTCCATCTTTCCCTCCTTCTCTCGTTACTTCTTGACTGTCCCTTCCATTTAATATTGTATTTATATCTTACATAGAAAGAAGGAAAGGAAGAAGGAAAGGAAGAAGGAAGGAAGGAAGGAGGGACAGGAAGGAAGGAAAAAGGAAGGGAGGGAGGGAAAGAAGGGAAGGAAGGAAAAAAAGAAGGAGGGACAGGAAGGGAGGGAGGGAGGAGAAGGAAGGAAGGAGGAAGGAAGGAGGGAAAGAAAGGAGGGGGATGAAGAAAGGAGGGAGGGAAGGAAATGAAGGGGAAGGAAATGAAGAAAGGGAAAGAAGGAGGAAAGGGAGGGAGGAAGGGAGGAAAAGGAAAGGAAAAAGAAAGGAGGGACAGGAAGGAAGGGAAGGAGGGAAAGAAGGAAAGGAAGGAGAAGGAAAGAAGAAAAGGAAAGGGAGGAAAGAAGGGAAGGGAGGGAGAGAAGGAAGGTCCTTCATTCAAGCACCGTGGACCTTCCTCGCCCCCTCCCTCTCCTCTTCCTCCTCCTCCCCTTCTTCCTTGCGTGGAGCACTCCGTTGCTGCTGCTGGCACTTTCCAACAGGGAAAGGAGGAGGAGACTGCTCTCCTGACATAGGAGGGGAAGAGAAGGGGCTGCATGCGGCAAGCCTCCACCTCCACTCCACTCGCTTGTGTGTGTTTGTGTGGCCGTGCACGTGTGCCTGGCTTTAACGGCCAGCTGTTTCCCCACGAGGAGGAGGGGGTGTGGCCATGGGTCTCGGTAGACATGCAGTTTCTCCTTTGTGGACATGCAGTTTAGAAGTCCTTTCTGCTTTTTTTTTTTTATAAAGTAATCTTTATTGATTTTACAAATACACCGCCGTTGTGCGGAAAGAAATGTGAGGAAAAAGGGAAAGAGGGGTAGGGGAGGGAGGGGGAGGGTACCAGGTGTGGAAGGAGGTAGGGAAAAAAAAGGAAAAAAAGGGCCCATCACCATCTTCATCTGTGCGCTGACTTCCCAAGGTCTTCCAAGAGTTCTGATCTCCGGTATTGAAGTCTTTTGCATTCGAACATCTAGTTGCTGACAAAGTCTCTTCCATACCTTCCTTTTAAAAGTTCGTCAGGTCAATTATTATGGAGATTTCTTTTGATTTTAAGTATTCCTTAAAGCCTGTCCAATCTGTTTTCTTTCTCACTCCATTCATTCTTTGAGATAAATTGTCCATTTGTATAATATCGAAGGCTTTTGTAATCCAGTCTTCCTGGGTTGGTATTTCTTTTAGCTTCCATTTTTTTGCAATCACCATTCTGGCCGCTGTGCTCAGTAAGAATAGTATTTTGTCTTGGTTTTTAGTCATTTTAGTCTCTTTATGTATACCTAGTAAATATGTTTCTGGAGCTCGTGGGAAAGTTATTTTAAGTATTTTCTGCTTTTTGTTATCATTTTTTTGAGTGGAGAACATACATTGGGTTGTTAGGGACATACTGTCCAAATTTGGTGTCAATTGCCCCAGTGGTTTCTGAGTTCTGTGAATATCACAAATGAACATTACATTTTTATTTATATAGAAGATTACCTCTTCCCGGACAGGTGGTGATCAAGTACGTGCCCTACGTTGGCGACAGCAAGCGGGCGCTAGATGAGTACACCTCCGAGATTGCCCTGGGCGGCACCAACACCATCGTCATCCACAACGTTTGTGAGGTGTGTGTCGTGGAGATGTGTGGTTCTTGCTCACCCGCTTCCCCACCAAAATGCTACAACTTTGTAATCGCCAGAATGGTCGTAAGCATATTCCCCCAAAACCTCTCCAGGATATTTAGTTGGACAGAGGGCTGCTCTGTGCCAAGTTTAGTCCGAGTTGGTCATTTGTAGGGGTCGCAGTCATAGAATCATAGAATCATAGAATCAAAGAGTTGGAAGAGACCTCATGGGCCATCCAGTCCAACCCGATTCTGCCAAGAAGCAGGAATGTTGCATTCAAATCACCCCTGACAGATGGCCATCCAGCCTCTGTTTAAAAACTTCCAAAGAAGGAGCCTTCACAACACTCCGGGGCAGAGAGTTCCACTGCTGAATGGCTCTCACAGTCAGGAAGTTCTTCCTCGTGTTCAGATGGAATCTCCTCTCTTGTAGTTTGAAGCCATTGTTCCGCGTCCAGGGAAGCAGAAAACAAGCTTGCTCCCTGTGGCTTCCTCTCACATATTTATACATGGCTATCATATCTCCTCTCAGCCTTCTCTTCTTCAGGCTAAACATGCCCAGCTCCTTAAGCCTCCTCATAGGGCTTGTTCTCCAGACCCTTGATCATTTTAGTCGCCATCCTCTGGACACATTCCAGCTTGTCAATATCTCTCTTCAATTGTGGTGCCCAGAATTGGACACAATATTCCAGGTGTGGTCTAACCAAAGCAGAATAGAGGGGTAGCATTACTTCCCTAGATCTAGACACTATGCTCCTATTGATGCAGGCCAAAATCCCATTGGCTTTTTTTGCCGTCACATCACATTGTTGGCTCATGTTTAACTTGTTGTCCACGAGGACTCCAAGATCTTTTTCACACGTACTGCTCTCGAGCCAGGCGTCCCCCATTTTGTATCTTTGCATTTCGTTTTTCCTGCCAAAGTGGAGTATCTTGCATTTGTCACTGTTGAACTTCATTTTGTTAGTTTCAGCCCATCTCTCTAATCTGTCAAGATTGTTTTGAATCCTGCTCCTGTCCTCTGGAGTATTGGCTATGTTCGGTTGAAGTCAGATCCAAAGCAAGTGAAAGGACTGCAAATCCTATTATCCATGGTCAAGAAGGCAGAATGGGTTTGGACTCGGGGGGCATTAAAGGAGCAACTGGAGGCCACCCCACTCCCCAGCCTTTCCTCAGAGGAGAATTTGCACAAATTATGTAAACGTATCATTTTAAGCCTGAGAACAACGAATGCCATCACATTACAGAATTGGCCCTTTTGCCCATCTGCATCCGGATCATTCCTCAAAAATCCACTTCCCAACCAGCTCTGGAAATGTATGAAAAGATAGCTGTTCCCAATGCTTTAGACATGGAAAGAACGCTCTATCCTACACTTGAACTCAGCCTCATGTGGTGAACACAATGGGTTACCACTTCCGAAGTGTAGGACTCAGTGGAATTTAGTAAATCTGATGAAGTATGTCTCCCCAAATGCTCTCTCTCTTTCTCCGTGCAGGACTCCTTGCTGGCGGCCCCCATCATCCTGGACCTGGTGGTGCTGGCGGAGCTGTGCCAGCGCATCCGGGTAGGCATCGAGGGCGAGGGGGACCCCCAGCCCCTCCACAGCGTCCTCTCGCTTCTCAGCTTCCTCTGCAAGGCCCCCCTTGTCCCCAGAGGCGCTCCCGTGGTCAACGCCCTCTTCCGACAACGTGCTGCCCTTGAGAACCTCCTCCGGTCAGTGCCGCCATCATTCCGGAGCCCTTTGTTTCTCTGCTGTTGTTTTTAATATAACATTAATGGGTTATGTTGATAAATTATAACAATTATAGGGGTGGCTTGCTGTGTGTTTTTCGGGGTGTAGAATTCTTGACATTTCACCTGCACCTTTGGCTGACATCTTCAGAGGTTTGTTCAGAAGTCTGTTGGAAATGAGGCAAGTGGAGTGTATATATATATATCTGTGAGAAAGAACCCTTATCTGTTTGAAGCAAGTTTTTTTTTTTGCCGTGTCAGGAGCGACTTGAGAAATTGCAAGTCGCTTCTGGTGTGAGAGAATTGGCCGTCTGCAAGCACGTTGCCCAGGGGACGCCTGGATGATTTGACGTTTTTATCATCCTTGTGGGAGGCTTCTCACATGTCCCCGCATGAGGAGCTGGAGTTTGTAATAGTTGCAATTAGCCAGCTTGAATAGCATTGAGTTGAAACCATCAGGACCAACTAATCATCTCCCAACAAAGGATTCCCCCAGGCAGTAAGAACCTTTAAACTTCTATGTCATTAAATGCTAATCAAGGTGGCCAATTAAAACATCCACACCTACCTCCAACAGACAAGAGTTCTTTCTCCCACCCTGGACATTCCACAGATATATAAACTCCAATTTCCTAGTTTCCAACAGACCTCACAACCTCTGAGGATACCTACCATAGATGCAGGCGAAACGTCAGGAGATAATGCTTCTGGAACATGGCCATACAGCTTGGAAAACTCACAACAACCCAGTGATTCCGGCCATGAAAGCTTTCGACAATACAGCATTGAATTGCCTTGCAGTTGCGAAGTCCATCAGTGTTCCGGCCTGGAGGCATCCTTTGTTTGGGTGGTGTTCACTGCACTTGGTTGTTTGCTGTCTGGAGTTCCTCGTTTTCTTTATTTATGGTCTTGATTCTAGTGTTTTTTAAACACTGGTAACCAGATTTTGTTCATTTTCATGGTTTCCTCCTTTCTGTTGAAATTGTCCACATGCTGCTGTGGATTTCAATGGCTTCTCTGTGTCATCTGACATGGTGGTTGTCAGAGTGGTCCAGCATTCCTGTGTTCTCAAATAGTATTCTGTGTCCAGGTTGTTTCATCAAGTATTTTGCTATAACTAACTTCTCTGGGTTGAATCAGTCTTCAGTGCCTCCAGTTAGTATTCTTTGATTTGTGTCTGGACAATGCTGCGTGTGATGGTCCCTATGTAGACTTCTTGTCCACAGCTGCGCGGCATACGGTAGACTCCTGCAGTGGTTAGAGCAGTGTTTCTCAACCTTCCGAATGCCACGACCCCTTACAGTTCCTTATGTTGTGGTGACCCCCAACCATAACATTATTTTCGTTGCTACTTCGTAAGTGTCATTTTGCTTCTGTTACAAATCGCAATGTGAACACCTAATATCCAGGATGTATTTTCATTCACTGGACCAAGTTTGACACCAATACCCGATATGCCCAAATTTGAATGCTGGTGGGGTTGGGGGTGAGATTGATAATGTCATTTGGGAGTTGTAGTTGCTGGGATTTATGGTTCACCTACAATCAAAGAGCGTTCTAATCTCCACCAAGGATGGAATAGAACCAAACTTGACACACAGAATTCCCATGACCAATAGAAAATACTGGAAGGGTTTGATGGGTATTGACCTTGAGTTTTGGAGCTATAATTCACCAGCACTATGGACTCAACAATGATGGATCTGGACCAAACTTGACAGGAATACTCAATATGCCCAAAATGTGAGCACTGGTGGAATTTGGGGGAAATAGACCGTGATATTTGGGAGTTGTGGTTGCTGAGATTTATAGCACCGGGATTGTGACGCAGCTGGCTGAGTGTCAGCTGCATTAAGATCACTCTGACCAAAAGGTCATGAGTTCGAAGCCAGCCCGGGTTGGAGCGGGTTTCCAACTAATTGTGTGTAGCCTGTTGTCGACCTTTGCAACCTGAAAGACAGTTGCATCTGTCAAGTAGGAAAATAAGGTACCACCTTAAAGTGTGGGGAGGCTAAATTAACTGATTTATGAGGCCATAAAGAAGACTCCAGCAAAGCATTCCAGCGAGGAAGCATGCGGGGAATGCGGAAGTGCTTCATCAGCGTCACAGATGGACGATGAAAGCGACAGCTCCCCAGCGGCCAGAAAAGTTAAATAGCCTCTGTGTATGTCTGTATATGTTGTATGTCAAAAATTGGTATCGGATTTTTGCCGTATATGTGTACACTGTAATCCGCCCTGAGTCCCCTGTGGGGTGAGAAGGGCGGAATATAAAAGCTGTAAATAATAATAATAATAATAATAATAATAATAATAATAATAATAATTAACCTATAATGAAAGAGCATTCTGAACACCACCAACGATAGAATTGGACCAAACTTGACACACAGAATTCCCATGACCAATAGAAAATACTGGGTTTGACGGGCGTTGACCTTGAGTTTTGGAGTTATAGTTCACCTACATCCAGAGAGCACTATGGACTCAACAATGATGGATTTGGACCAAACTTGACAGGAATACTCAATATGCCCAAAATGTGAGCACTGGTGGAATTTGGGGGAAATAGACCGTGATATTTGGGAGTTGTGGTTGCTGAGATTTATAGTTCACATATAATGAAAGAGCATTCTGAACACCACCAACGATAGAATTGAACCAAACTTTCCATACAGAACCCCCATGACCAACAGAAAATACTGTATTTTCTGATGGTCTTTGATGACCCCTCTGACACCCCCCCCCACAACCCCCTCAACAGTCCCGACCCCCAGGTTGAGAAACGCTGGGTTAGAGGATCCCTGAACATAGCATTTGTTGAAGGACCCGGCGCTGCCCGGGTTATTAGAGAAAGTGGTTAATTGCGGTTCTGTATGCCAAGTTTAGTCTTTATTGGTCATTGGATGACGGTTGCATTGTTTTCAGGAAGTGAGTGAAGGTACTTGAAGTCCCATCATCCACGGTCCACTCTCCTAGAACAGCAGCAGGATATAGAGTGGGTCATGGGGGCTCTGTGTGCCAAGTTTGTTCTTTATCAGTCATTGGATGAGGGTGGCAGTGGTTTCAGTAAGTGAGTGAAGGTACTGCAAGTCCCATCATCCAAAATCCATCCTCCTTCAAACTGCAGCAGGATGTAGAGTGGGTCATGGGGGCTCTGTATGCTAAGTTTGGTCTTGATCAGTCATTGGATGAGGGTGGCAGTGGTTTCAGTAAGTGAGTGAAGTTACTTGTTGTTGTTGTTGTTGTTCATTCGTTCAGTCGTCTCCGACTCTTCGTGACCTCATGGACCAGCCCACACCAAAGCTCCCTGTCGGCCGTCACCACCCCCAGCTCCTTCATAGTCAGTCCAGTCACTTCAAGGATGCCATCCATCCATCTTGCCCTTGGTCGGCCCCTCTTCCTTTTGCCTTCCACTTTCCCCAGCATAATTGTCTTCTCTAGGCTTTCCTGTCTCCTCATGATGTGGCCAAAGTACTTCAACTTTGTCTCTAGTATCTTTCCCTCCAGTGAGCAGTCGGCCTTTATTTCCTGGAGGATGGACTGGTTGGATCTTCTCGCAGTCCAAGGCACTCTCAGAACTTTCCTCCAACACCACAGTTCAAAAGCATCGATCTTCCTTCGCTCAGCCTTCCCTAAGGTCCAGCTCTCACATCCTAGGTTACTACAGGGAATACCATGGCTTTGACTAGGCGGATCTTTGTTGCCAGTCTGATGTCTCTACTCTTTACTATTTTATCGAGATTGGACATTGCTCTCCTCCCAAGAAGTAAGCGTCTTCTGATTTCCTGGCTACAGTCTGCATCTGCAGTAATCTTTGCACCTAGAAATACAAAGTCTGTCACGGCCTCCACATTTCTCCCTCTATTTTCCAGTTGTCAATCATTCTTGTTGCCATAATCTTGGTTTTTTTGACGTTTAGCTGCAACCCGGCTTTTGCGCTTTCTTCTTTCACCTTGATTAGAAGGCTCCTCAGCTCCTCCTCGCTTTCGGCCATCAGAGTGGTGTCATCTGCATATCTGAGGTTGTTAATGTTTCTTCCAGCAATGTTCACCCCAGCTTTGCATTCATCCAGCCCCGCACATCGCATGATGTGTTCTGCATACAAGTTAAAAAGGTTGGGTGAGAGTATGCAGCCTTGCCGTACGCCTTTCCCAATCTTGAACCAGTCTGTTGTTCCGTGGTCAGTTCTGACTGTTGCTACTTGGTCCTTGTACAGATTCCTCAGGAGAGAGACAAGGTGGCTTGGGATGCCCATCCCACCAAGAACTTGCCACAATTTATTATGATCCACACAGTCAAAGGCCTTAGAATAGTCAATGAAGCAGAAATAGATGTTTTTCTGAAACTCCCTGCCTTTCTCCATTATCCAGCGGATATTGGCAATCTGGTCTCTCGTTCCTCTGCCTTTTCTAAACCCAGCTTGCACATCTGGCAACTCTCGCTCCATGTATTGCTGGAGTCTTCCTTGCAGGATCTTGAGCATTACCTTACTGGCATGAGAAATAAGGGCCACTGTACGGAAGTTTGAGCAGTCTTTCGCATTTCCCTTTTTTGGTATGGGGATATAAGTTGATTTTTTCCAGTCTGATGGCCATTCTGTGTTTTCCATATTTGCTGGCAAATGGCATGCATCACCTTGACAGCATCATCTTTTAAGATTTTAAACAGTTCAGCTGGGATCCCGTCGTCTCCTGCTGCCTTGTTGTTAGCAATGCTTCTTAAGGCCCATTCAACCTCGCTCCTCAGGATGTCTGGTTCTAATTCATTCACCACACCGTCATAAAGTATCCTCAATATTATTATCCTTCCTATACAGATCTTCTGTATAGTCTCGCCACCTTCTCTTGATCTCTTCAGCTTCTGTTAGGTCCCTGCCATCTTTGTTTCTTATCATACCAATTTTTGCCTGAAATTTACCTCCAATGTTTCTAAGTTTCTGGAAGAGGTCTCTTGTCCTTCCTATTCTGTTGTCTTCTTCCACTTCCATGCATTGCTTATTTAAAAATAGTTCCTTATCTCTTCTGGCTAACCTCTGGAATTGCGCATTTAACTGGGCATATCTCCCCTTATCCCTGTTTCCTTTTGCTTTCCTCCTTTCTTGGGCTACTTCCAGTGTCTCACCAGACAACCATTTTGCCTTCTTGGTTTTCTTTTTCTTTGGGACGTACTTTGTTGCCGCCTCCTGAACAATGTCTCGGACTTCTGTCCATAGTTCTTCTGTCACTCTGTTTACTAAATCTAGTCCTTCAAATCTGTTCTTCACTTCCACTGTATATTCGCTAGGAATGTTAGTGAGATCATATCTAACTGGTCTGTGTATTTTCCCTGATCTCTTTAGTTTTATTCTAAATTGGCAATAAGAAGTTCGTGATCTGAGCTACAGTCAGCCCCAGGTCTTGTTTTCACCGACTGGATGGATGTCCGCCACCTTTGGCTGCAAAGGATGTAGTCAATCTGATTTCGGTGTTGACCGTCTGGTGAGGTCCATGTATAAAGCCGTCTTTTAGGTTGTTGGAAGAGAGTATTCGTTATACACAGCGAGTTTTCCTGGCAAAATTCTATCAGCCTGCGTCCCGCTTCATTTTGTTCTCCCAGACCATGCTTGCCTGTGATCCTGTTGTCATTTGACTTCCCACCTTGGCATTCCAGTCTCCTGTAATGAAAATAATGTCTCTTTTTGGTGTATTATCCAGTAGTTCCTGCAGATCCTCATAGAACTGATCTACTTCTGCTTCTTCAGCAGCTGTGGTTGGGGCATATATTTAGATCACTGTAATGTTGAAAGGCTTTCCTTGCACTCGAATTGAGATCATTCTGTCATTTTTTGGTTGTATCCAAGCACCGCTTTAGCGAATTTCTTATTAATTATGAAGGCTACTCCATTTCTTCGATGTTCCTCTTGTCCGCAGTAGTAGATCTGGTGGTCATCTGATGTGAAGTGGCCCAATTCCAGTCCATTTCAGTTCGCTGACCCCCAGAATGTCTATCTTTAGTCTTGACATCTCACCAATAACAACATCCAATTTGCCCTGGCTCATAGATCTTACATTCCAGGTTCCTATGGTGTGTTGATCTTTAGCGCATCGGATTCGTCGTTCACCTCCGGTACCGTCGGCCGCTAGCCTTCCTTTCGGCTTTGAGCTAGCTGCGTCATCACATCTGGGGCTAGTTGAACGTATCCTCTGCTCCTCCCCAGTAGCATTTTGGCCATCTTCCGACCTGGGAGTCCCATCTTCCAATGGCATACCGACATATCTCTGGTTGTACTGGTCCATTTAGTTTTCTTGGCAAGGATACTGGAGTGGTTTGCCATTGCCTTCCCCAGGGATCACGCTTGGTCTGTGAAGTTACTGCAGTGAAGTTACTGCAAGTCCCATAATCTATGATCCACCCTCCTCCAAACTGAAACAGGATGTAGATAGGGTCATGGGGGCTCTGTGTGCCACGTTTGGTCTTGATTGGTCATTGGATGAGGGTCGCAGTTGTTTCAATAAGTAAGTAAAGATACTGCAAGTCCCATCATCCATGGTCCATCCCCCTTAGAACTGCATCAGGATGTAGAGTGGGCCATGAGTACTCTGTGTGCTAAGTTTGGGCCCGGTCTGTGATTTGTAGGAATTCTGTGGGAATTGAATCGGGTGAAGGTACTGCAAATCCCATCATTAGTGGCCCATCCTGCCCTGAACCACACCAGGTTTTAAAGTGGGCCATTGGGCCTCTGTGTGCCAAGTTTGGTCCTGATCCGTCATTGAAAATGAACAAAATCTGTTTACCATTGTCCTGATCTGCAGTTTTCTAGAGAAGAAATTACCTCACAGACAGACTGGAAGAGCTGTATTTCTCAAAGTATACCGTACAGTTACAAGTAAAGTTCCACCTGACAGTTGTTTTCCCTCTCGCCTCATATCCCTCACTTTGGCCCTCCCCTTCACAGCCCTGTTTCCATGGAAACACTCTCCCTTGCTTCAAGAGAACAACAGGCCAAGGTATGGCCTACTTTCATGATTGCCCACCACTCCAGGAAGGGAGGTCATGACAACCGTTGTTAAGATAAAATGCCAGAATCAAGGCAGTAAAAAAGGAACATTGTTCAGAAACACCGGAATGGGCCTGGAGGGCACTGTTTTACAGTGGCTCCAGTCCTTTCTGGAGGGTCGCACACAGGTATTATTGGGAGACACCTGTTCAACCCCACATCCTTTGTCTTGTGGGGTTCCTCAGGGATCAATACTGTCTCCCATGTTGTTCAACATATACATGAAGCCACTGGGGGAGATCATCCGGAGTTTCGGGGTGTACGCAGATGATGTCTAACTCCGTCACTCCTTTCCACCTGCTACTAAGGAGGCTGTCGAGGTCCTGAACCGGTGCTTGGCCACTGTAACGGTCTGGATGAGGGCAAACAAATTGAAATTGAATCCAGGCAAGACAGAGGTACTCCTGGTCAGTTGAAAGGCGGAACAGGGCATAGGGTTACAGCCTGTATTGGATAAGGTCACACTCCCCCTGAAGACGCAGGTTCGCACCTTGGGAGTGATCCTGGACTCATCGCTGAGCCTGGAACCCCAGGTCTCGGTGGTGACCAGGGGAGCATTTGCACAATTAAAACTTGTGCGCCAGCTGCGCCCATACCTTGGGAAGTCTGACTTGGCCACGGTAGTCCACGCTCTAGTTACATCCTGTATAGACTACTGCAACGCTCTCTTACTTACTTAGGTGATCCCTCGTTGGACGAGTAAGATGGTCTTCCTTGATGACTATTTTTGTAGGTTTGTAGGTGGCTGTGGAGCCCTATTCTTGACCCGCATCTTCTCCCACAGTGAAGGCATTGATTTCCAGGAGGAAGGCGGTCCCGGTCGGGGTTGGCTTGACGCGCCTTCCTCCTGGCACGTTTCTCTGTTTCACCCTCCACTCGTGCCTCCTTGAATTCTGCGGCACTGCTGGTCACAGCTGACCTCCAGCTGGAGCGGTCAAAGGCCAGGGCTTCCCAGTTCTCAGTGTCTATGCCAGAGATTTTAAGGTTGGCTTTGAGCCCATCTTTAAATCTCTTTTCCTGTCCACCGACATTCCGTTTTCCATTCTTAAGTTCAGAGTAGAGCAACTGCTTTGGGAGATGGTGGTCAGGCATCCGGACAACGTGGCCGGTCCAGCGGAGTTGATGGCAGAGGACCATCACTTTGATGCTGGTGGTCTTTGCTTCTTCCAGTACGCTGACGTTTGTCCGCTTGTCTTCCCAAGAGATTTGCAGGATTTTCCGGAGGCAGCGCTGATGGAATCGTTCCAGGAGTTGCATGTGACATCTGTAGACAGTCCACGTCTCATAGGCATATAGCAGGGTTGGGAAGACAATAGCTTTATAGACAAGCACCTTGGTATCTCTACGGATGTCCTGGTCCCCAAACACTCTCTGCCTCATTTGGGAAAATGCTGCACTCGCAGAGCTCAGGTGGTGTTGTATTTCGGTGTTGATGTTGGCTTTGGAAAACGCTCTCTACACTCTCTACGTGGGGTTGCATATGAAGACTGTCCGGAAGCTTCAACTAGTCCAACGAACGGCAGCCAGGTTGTTAACAGGAGCGGCGCTCAGGGAGGATGCAACTCCCTTGTTGCGCCAGCTCCACTGACTGCCAGTTTGCTACTGGGCCCAATTCAAAGTGCTGGCTTTGGCCTATAAAGCCCTAAACAGTTCTGGCCCAACTTACCTATCCGAACTTATCTCCGCTTACGAACCACTGAGGACTTTAAGATCATCTGGGGAGGCCCTGCTCTCAGTCCCGCCTTCTTCACAAGCACGTTTGGCGGGGATGAGAGACAGGGCCTTCTCAGTGGTGGCCCCTCGACTATGGAACGCCCTCCCTAGGGAGATCAGATCTGCTCCCTCCCTCCTGACGTTTCGGAGGCAAGTTAAAACGTGGCTATTCGAGCAAGCGTTTCCAAATTGCTAATATAGGAAATCGAATGACCTGACAATGGAATTGGATAATGCTTGAGAATAATGAGACGCTGATGATGTTGCTTTTATTGTCTTTCTGATGTTTTATACTGTTAATGTTTTTTATCTATTATGTTTTATGTATACTGATTTGTTGGAAACCGCCTTGAGTCGCCAATTGGCTGAGAAAGGCGGTATACAAATAAAACAAACAAACAAACAAACAAACAGGGGAATTCCAGACAGCAAACAACCAAATGCCAGTGAACACCTTCCAAACAAAGGGTGCCTCCAGGCACAACAACTAGGTTACTGATTGACTTTACAACTTCATGGTTACTCAGTGCTAATCAAGCTTGCTTAGCATAACCAAATAAAATTGTATTTTAAGAAATAATTAAGGAGCTCTTTTGGAAAAGGGGGTGGGGGTGGCAGGCTATGTGTTCGTTTTCAATGATGTGACTGATGGCTTGCCTCTTTCTCTCTCTTGGGCAGGGCCTGCGTGGGCCTCCCTCCCCAGAACCACATGCAGCTAGAATACAAGACCCAACAGCCGTGGGGCTGCGCCAAGCGTGTTCAGAGCCCCAAGCAATCGCCCCCGCCGCGCCTCAATGGCTTTGTGTGCCCCCCGGAAAGCAATGGCCACCCGGAGCCCCATCTCGGCTTGCAAAACTAGACACCGCCCCCCTACTTTGGACTGTGCGTCCCCTTCCCTCCCTTGTTTTGTTTTCGTTTGAGCCAGGCATCTTCGGTGGCAGCGCTCCTTCTTTCTCCGTGAAAACTGTGAATGTTTCGTTGGATAAAATGAAATAGAAATAAAACAAAGAGTTCAGATGAACCCCCCTTGGCTTTTTGTGTCTTTCTGAACAACGACGACGACGGCACAAGGATCTTCTCGTCTTGAACCCGCCTGGAGACTCAGGTTCGGTTTCTGATGTAGGGAGAAATGGTGATTTCAACATCCTGGACATTCAGTTTCTTAGATGAAGTGGGACCAGGTGGGCTGATTTGTGGAAATGCCTCTTGATGTGGAGTGTCACTGGATCCCCAGGTCCCACCTGTGGCCCCACCCCTTTTATCTAGAGGTTCCATCCTGACCCCACCCCCTTTTGAGTCTGACTCCGCCCCTTAACTCCAACAGTTTTCTCCTGACTCTGCCCCTTTTGTTTCCAGTTTTCACCTTAGCCCCACCCCTTTTGTTCCTGGCCCCACCCCCTTTTGATCCAAGCTCCGCCCCATTCTATCTCCAGGATCCATCCTGACCACACCCCCTTTTGATCCCAGCTCCGCCCCATTCGATCTCCAGGATCCATCCTGACCCCACCCCCTTTTGATCCCAGCTCCGCCCCATTTTATCTCCAGGATCTATCCTGACCCCACCCCCTTTTGATCCCAGCTCCGCCCCATTCAATCTCCAGGATCCATCCTGACCCCACCCCCTTTTGATCCCAGCTCCGCCCCATTCTATCTCCAGGATCCATCCTGACCCCACCCCCTTTTGATCCCAGCTCCGCCCCATTTTATCTCCAGGATCCATCCTGACCCCACCCCCTTTTGATCCCAGCTCCGCCCCATTCAATCTCCAGGATCCATCCTGACCCCACCCCCTTTTGATCCCAGCTCCACCCCATTTTATCTCCAGGATCCATCCTGACCCCACCCCCTTTTGATCCAGCTCCGCCCCATTCTATCTCCAGGATCCATCCTGACCCCACCCCCTTTTGATCCCAGCTCCGCCCCATTCGATCTCCAGGATCCATCCTGACCCCACCCCCTTTTGATCCCAGCTCCGCCCCATTCTACCTCCAGGTTCCATCCTGACCCCACCCACTTTTTGATCCCACCTCCACCCCATTCTATCTCCAGGTTCCATCCTGACCCCTCCTCCCTTTGATCCCAGCTCTGCTCCATACTATCTCCAGGTTCTATCCTGACTCCACCCCCTTTTGTTCCCAGCTCCGCCCCTTTCTGTCTCCAGGTTCCATCCTGGCTCCGCCCCCTTTTGTTCCTGTCTCCAGATTCCATCCCAACTCCCTCTCTTCAGCTCTGGCTCCATCCTCTTTTGTTTGCTGGGTTCCACTTTGCCTAGTTCCTGCCCTGCTTTGCCTTGACGCCATCCAGCCTGACCTCCAGGCTGTGTTTTGGGCCCCGAAACCAAAACCTGTGGTCACAAAGGGAGGCGCTTAATGGCAGCTGGCCTGGGAGGTTGAGCAACTGGGTCTTGCCCCAAAGCGACTCTCTCCTCCACTTCCCCCTCCACCCCTTCTGGGACGAAAGAGGGAACCACATCTTCCCCTTTCTCCGCCCGGTGGAAGCGATGCCAGGAGCCTCCCTTGACAGGACGGAGAGTGGCTAAAACTAGCGGCTGGGGATCCTCAAAGTGAAAGGTAGGGTGTAATTACGGTCTCCAAACCGTAAGGATTCAAGAATCTGGACAGAGCTAAAAGGTGTGTGTGGAGGGTCTACTTAGTAGTCAAAGAGGCCTCGAAACTTGCCACTGGGTCATTTATAGATCTTGGTTCCTGTTTTGTTATGATCACCAGCATCCATGAGCTCCGGGACCAAGATGTGGGTCCTCTGCTGTTTTGGAGAGAGGGAATGCTAGGCCTGGGTCAGTTTGGAACACCACAAAATGGTTAATTCAGAGCGACCCGTAAATTGGTCTTTGATGAACAGCTCCGGTTTTGTGGTTGAATCAATCTGGAATGGGGTCTTCCTCTTTTCCGATTGCCTTTCCCCTTCGCTGCCCAAATCACTTGGATGTATGGCGACCCCAGGAATGAGAGACCTTACAAGTCATTATGGTCAGCTCAGGTCTCCCAAAAAAGAGCCTCCCTCTTTTCTTTGCTGCCGAATTGCCATGAATGAGAGTTGCCTTCTTACAGTCAGCTCAAATTGTACACAGAATCCCTGTTAATGCAGCCACTCGCTGTCTCGTAGTCAAAAGACAGGCCGTAGGTATACACAGCAAACAGTCCAACAAGGGTAAAGCATAAGAATAGGGGAGAGTTAAAACCAAGCAATCTCACCAACTCAAACCATCAAAGAGTTCACCAACAGAGATTCGGGATGTAGCGGTTCCATAACGTTGCTTCCAGCAAACTGCCAGCTCCAGCCTTCAGCTATTTATGCCACTTTTGCCAAGCACTCTCATCTGTTGGTCCTCTTAGATCTCCAATTAGATCTCCTCCGTTAGATGGCATCAGTCCTTAATTGCAGCCTTAATAGCTGGAAACGCTTAGCTTCTGCTCTGCTTTCTGGAGCTCATGATCCTGCTCTAACTCTGCGTCCCTACTTCCCTGAGCTTTCTGGTCCTGCAGAATTGACTTTGATTTCGTGGCAATGCACATGAATGAGAGATCCTTCAGTTTGGCCTCTTGGGTCTGCAAAGTTGTGGGGTTCAAAAATCAGTAATTGAGAAGGATTCCTGTGGGTCCAAGAAGGGGTCTTTGGGTTGCGCCGAGCCTTTCTCAGCCCGTTATGCCTTCACAGATCATCTATAGAAATAAAAATGTAATGTTCGTTTGTGGGGTTAACAGAACTCAAAAACCACTGGAGGAATTGACATCAAATTTGGACACAAGACACCCAACAACCCAATGTATGTCCTTCACTCATAAAAACACTGAAAAACACAGCAGAAGGGACTTAAAAGGTTCCCTAAAGCTAACGGACAATACAGAAAAAAGGGAAGAAAGAAGAAAGGAAGGGGAGAAAAGAAAGAAAGAAAGACACTGAAAAACACAGAAAGAAAAGAAAAGAAAAGAAAGAGGGAGGGAAAGAAAGAAAGAAAGAAAGAAAGAAAGAAAGAAAGAAAGAAAGAAAGAAAGAAAGAAAGGGAGAAGGAAGCATGGAAGGAAAGAGGTAGAGAAGGAAGAAAGGAGAGAAAGAGAGAGGGAAAGAAAAAGGGGGAAGGAAGGAAAGTTAGAGAAGGAAGGAAGGAGAGAGGGAAAGAAGGAAGGAAAGAGTGAGCTAAGGAAGGGGGAAGATGTAGAGAAAGAGGGAGGGAAGGAAAGAAGGAAAGAGAGAAGGAAGAAAAGAGATAGCAGAAGAAAAAGAAAAAGGGGAAAGGAAGGAAAGAGATAGAGAAGCAAGGAAGAAGAGAAGAGGGAGTGAAGGAAGGAGGGAAAGAAGGAGAGAAAGAGGGAAGGTTGGCCCCAGCAATGCGTGGCAAGTACAGCTAGTCTATAGAAATAAAAATGTAATGTTTGTTTGTGGGATTAACATAACTCAAAAACCACTGGACGAATTGCCGCCAAATTTGGCCACAAGTCACCTACTAACCCAAGGAGTGACCATCACTTTAAAAAAAATGATTTTGTCATTTGGGAGTTGTAGTTACTGGGATTTATAGTTCAGCTACAATCAAAGAGCATTCTGAACCCCACCAACGATGGAATTGAACCAAACTTGGTACACAGTTCTCCCGTGACCAAACGAAAATACTGGAAGACTTTTGTGGGTATTGACCTTGAGTTTTGGAGTTGTAGTTCAACTCCAGAGAGCACGGTGCACTCAGTGATGGATATGGACCAAACTTGGCACAGATATTCAATATGCCCAAATATGAACACTGGTGGAGTTTGGGGAAAATAAACCTTGACATTTGGGAGTTGTAGTTGCTGGGATTTATAGTTCACCTACAATCACAGAGCATTCTGAACCCCCACCAACGATAGAATTGGGCCAAACCTCCCCACAGAACCCCCATGTGGGCCACAGCAACATGTGGCAGGGGACGGCTAGTCTATATAAATAAAAATGTAATGTTCGTTTGTGGGATTAACAGAACTCAAAAACCACTGGAGGAATTGACACCAAATTTGGACACAAGACACCTAACAACCCAATGTATGTCCTTCACTCATAAAAACAATGAAAAACACAGCAGAAGGGACTTAAAAGGCCCCCAAAAGCTAAAGGACAATACAGAAAAAAGGGAAGAAAGAGGAAGGGAAGGGGAGAAAAGAAAGAAAGAAAGAAAGAAAGAAAGAAAGAAAGAAAGAAAGAAAGAAAGAAAGAAAGAAAGAAAAAAAGAGGGAGGGAGGGAGGGAAAGAAAGAAGGAAAGGGAGAAGGAAGCAGGGCAGCAAAGACAGAAGGAAGGAAGGAGAGAAAGAGGGAGGGAAAGAAAAAGGGGGAAGGAAGGTAAGTTAGAGAAGGAAGAGGAGAGAAGGAAAGAAAAAAGGGAATGAAGGAAGGAAAGAGGGAGCGAAGGAAGGGGGAAGATGTAGAGAAAGAGGGAGGGAAGGAAAGAAGGAAAGAGAAGGAAGAAAAGAGAGAGATAGAAAAAGAAAAAGGGGAAAGGAAGGAAAGAGATAGTGAAGGAAGGAAGAAGAGAAGAAAAGAGGGAGTGAAGGAAGGAGGGAAAGAAGGAGAGAAAGAGGGAAGGTTGGCCACAGCAACGCGTGGCGGGTACTGCTAGTCTATATAAATAAAATGTACTGTTCGTTTGTGGGATTAACAGAACTCAAAAACCACTGGACGAATTGACACCAAATTTGGACACAAGACACCTAACAACCCAATGTATGCCCTTCACTAAAAAAAAATACATGATTTTGTCACTTGGGAGTTGTACTTGCTGGGATTTATAGTTCACCTACAATCAAAGAGCATTCTGAACCCCACCAAAGATGGAATTGGTCCAAACTTGGCACACAGTTCTCTCGTGACCAACAGAAAATACTGGAAGGGTTTTGTGGGCATTGACCTTGAGTTTTGGAGTTGTAGTTCAACTCCAGAGAGCACGGTGCACTCAGTGATGGGTATGGACCAAACTTGGCACAAATATTCAATATGCCCAAATATGAACACTGGTGGAGTTTGGGGAAAATAGAACTTGACATTTAGGAATTGCAGTTGCTAGGATTTATAGTTCACCTACAATCAAAAACTCCACCAACAATTGAATTGAACCAAACTTGGCACACAGTTCTCCCGTGACCAACAGAAAATACTGGAAGGGTTTGGTGGGCATTGACCTTAAGTTTTGGAGTTGTAGTTCACCTACATCCAGGGAGCACTGAGGACTCAAACAATGATGGATCTGGACCAAACTTGACATGAATATTCCATATGCCCAAATGTGAACACTGGTGGAGTTTGGGGGAAATAGAATCTTGACATTTGGGAGTTGTAGTTGCTGGGATTTATAGTTCACCTACAATCACAGAGCATTCTGAACCCCACCAACGATAGAATTGGGCCAAACCTTCCAAACAAAACCCCCATGTGGGCCACAGTAATGCGTGACAGGGGACGGCTTGTCTATAGAAATAAAAATGTAATGTTCGTTTGTGGGATTAAGATAACTCAAAAACCACTGGACGAATTGCTGCCAAATTTGGCCACAAGTCACCTACTAACCCAAGGAATGACCATAACTTTAAAAAATTTTTTTTGTCATTTGGGAGTTGTAGTTGCTGGGATTTATAGTTCAACTAAAATAAAAAAGCATTCTAAACTTCACCGACGATGGACTTGAACCTAACTTGGCATACAGGGCTCCCATGACCAACAGAAAACACTAGAAGGGTTTGGTGGGCATTGACCTTGAGTTTGGGAGTTGTAGTTCACCTACATCCAGAGAGCACTGTGGATTCAAGCAGTGATGGATCTGGACCAAACTTGGCATGAATATTCCATATGCCCAAACATGACCACAGATGGAGTTTGGGGGAAATTAACCTTGACATTTGGGAGTTATAGTTCCTTGGATTTATAGTTCACCAACAATCAAAGAGCATTCTGAACCCACAAATGACAGAATTGGGGCAAACTTCCCACACAGAACCCCCATGACCAATAGAAAATACTTAAGGCCACCCAGGGCAAGAAAACGTAATCAAAGCCCTCCTGACAAAGAGCCATCCAGCCATAGATATAGATAGATAGATAGATAGATAGATAGATAGATAGATAGATAGATAGATATGATTCACACACACATAGATGTAGTATCATAGATATGAAAGGGACCCCTAAAGAAGCACAATTATACGTTGCATGCTCCATGGTAGACAAACCAGACAATCTCCATATCAACACTGACAAAGAAACAGCAAGAAATACTGTTTACCCACAAGCATAAAGAAATTACATATATTAGAAATATTTACTTTATTTTGCAGATAACCAGACTGGACCACAGCAATGTGTGGCAGGGGACAGCTAGTCATAGAATAATAGAGTTGGAAGAGATCACATGGGCCATCTAGTCCAACCCCCTTCTGCCATGCAGGAGAGCACAAGATATCCCTGAACAGATGGCCATCCAGCCTCTGTTTAAAGGTTTTTGAGGGAGGAGCTTCTACCATATTACGAGACAGAAAGTTCCACTGCTGAACAGCTCTTGGAGACTAGGACGTGGAACAATGGCATCAAACTACAAGAGAGGAGATTCCATCTGAACATGAGGAAGAACTTCCTGACTGTGAGAGCCGTTCAGCAGTGGAACTCTCTGCCTCGGAGTGTGGTGGAGGCTCCTTCTTTGGAAGCTTTTAAACAGAGACAGGATGGCCATCTGTCAGGGGTGATTTGACTGCAATATTACTGCTTCTTGGCAGGGGGTTGGACTGGATGGCCCATGAGGTCTCCTCCAACTCTTTAATTCTATGATTCTTACAGCCAAGAAGTTCTTCCTAATAATCAGGTGGAATCTCCTTTCTTGTCATTTGAACCCATTGCTCCTAGTTCTACTTTCAAGGGCAGCATTAAAAAAACCTACTCCTTCTTCCTTATGACACCCTTTCACATATTTATACATGGCTATCATGCCTCCTCTCAGGAGACCCCAGTGGTGCACTGGGTTAAACCCTAGTGCCGGCAAGACTGAAGACCAACAGGTTAGAGGTTCGAATCTGGGGAGAATGCAGGCGAGCTCCTTGTGTCAGCTCCAGCTTCCCATGCGGAGACATGAGAGAAGCCTCCTACAAGGATGGTAAAATATCAAAACATCTGGGTGTCCCCTGGGTAGCGTCCTTGCAGATGGCCAATTCTCTCACGCCAGCAGTGACTTTCAGTTTCTCAAGTTGCTCCTGACACGAAAAAAAAAGTCTCCTCTCAACCTTCTCTTCCGAAGCTAAACATACCCAGTTCTTTAATATGTTTGTCATAGGGATTCATGCTTTCCAGACCTTTGAATTTTAGTCGTCTTCCTCTGGACACCTTCCAGCTTATTAATATCTCTTTTGAACTGTGGTGCCCAGAATCAGATACAGCATTCCAGGTAAAGAAGGCTAACCAAAGCAGAACACAAAGGCACCATGACTTCCCTCGATCTGGACATTAGATTCATTTTGATGCAGCCCAAAATCCCATTGGCTTTTTGAGCTGCTGCATCACACTCTTGGCTCAGGTTCAGCTTGCTCTCCATGAAGACTCCAAGATCTTTTTCACGTTGAATTTTACGGCATTGAATGTTAGCTGCTGTATGTTGTGAACCATCTTGAGCCCCCATTGGGAAGATAGGGCAGGATAGGATAGCAATAAAGCTTTATTATTATTATTATTATTATTATTATTATTATTATTTATTTTTTTATTTATTTAGAACTTTTATATACCGGTCTTCTCACCTCTGACGAGGGACTCAGGCCGGTTCACAACAGAGGATTCATACACAATCGTTTAAAACATCACATCCCATAATACACTAATATAAAAACACATTAAAATACAATCATATAATCACATAAGGCCAAGTCGTCAGAATGAAATCACAATTCATCATCATCCGTCCGTGTGGTCCAGAGTTATTGACTCACTCATCAAATGCCAGATTCCAGAGCCAGGTTTTCACCAGCTTTCTAAAGTTCAGGAGAGAAGGGGCAGTTCTAATCTCCAATGGGAGAGAGTTCCAGAGCCGAGGGGCCACCACCGAGAAGGCCCTGTCCCTCGTCCCCACCAGGCGCGATTGCGAGGGTGATGGGACCGAGAGCAGGCCCCTCCAGAAGATCTTAACAACCTTGATGGTTCATAGGGGAGAATCCATTCGGACAGGTAAACTGGGCCGTAATTATTATTATTATTAGAAATACAACAAGGTGAATCCACAGCAGACACTCTACTGGCTGTTGAATTGGATCAAACGTCGGACACTTCCCAAGTGTCTAGGACTGTGTGATGTATCGGCGAATAATGCGTGCAGATCCCAATAAGGCAGCCTTCTGCAGCTGGCAGATGGTAATTTTGTCAGCGCCGATTGTGTTTAAGTGCAGGCCAAGGTCTTTAGGCACTGCACCCAGTATGCCGATCACCACTGGGACCACCTTTACTGGTTTGTGCCAGAGTCTTTGCAGTTCAATTTATTATTATTATTATTATTATTATTATTATTACTATTATTATTATTGTTTATCTCTGTTGTCGAGATAGGCGTCACTCATCCTGTATCTTTGCATTTCATTTTTTTTCTGCCTAAGTGTTGTCTCTTACTTCTGATCTTGTTGAAATTCATTTTGTTAGTTTTGGCCAATATTCTCTCTCTTATCTGTTGAGATCATTTTGCATTCTGATCCTGTCCTCTGGAGGATTAGCTCTCCCTCCTAATTTGGTCCCATCTACAAACTTGATCAGCATGCCCTCTAAACCAGTGGTTTCCAACCTGTGGCCCATGGACCACCAGTGGTCTGAAAGAACTAAAATATGTTCGTGGCCTCACCGTTGCTACACCATTGCAACAAGAGTGACCGGTCTCGCAAAGCCCTCTTGTAGTGCTGAGGCTTATTAAATATGGTTTCCTTTGGGTGAGAAGATGGTGACTACTGGTTGGCATATGTTCTGTATCAGAAACTAGAGGTGATGTGGCCTATTCATAGAATCATAGAATCAAAGAGTTGGAAGAGACCTCATGGGCCATCCAGTCCAAAGCCCCTGCCAAGAAGCAGGAATATCGCAGCCTCTGTTTAAAAGCCTCCAAAGAAGGAGCCTCCACCACATTCCGGGCAGAGAGTTCCACTGCTGAACGGCTCTCACAGTCAGGAAGTTCTTCCTAATGTTCAGATGGAATCTCCTCTCTTGTAGTTTGAAGCCATTGTTCCGCGTCCTAGTCTCCAAGGAAGCAGAAAACAAGCTTTGCTCCCTCCTCCCTGTGGCTTCCTCTCACATATTTATACATGGCTATCATATCTCCTCTCAGCTTCTCTTCTTCAGGCTAAACATGCCCAGCTCCTTAAGCCGCTCCTCATAGGGCTTGTTCTCCAGACCCTTGATCATTTTAGTCGCCCTCCTCTGGACACATTCCAGCTTGTCCATATCTCTCTTGAATTGTGGTGCCCAGAATTGGACACAATATTCCAGGTGTGGTCTAACCAGAGCAGAATAGAGGGGTAGCATGACTTCCCTAGATCTAGACACTATGCTCCTATTGATGCAGGCCAAAATCCCATTGGCTTTTTTTCAATGCAATTTTCTGAATCAACACCTCAAATAACCAAACCAAATCTAAAGTTGACCAAAAATTGATTCGTAACCACTTTGGTACTGATGTGGAAGAGTGGTCCCTCGTCAAGTGGTCCATGGTCAAAAAAAGGTTGGGAACCACTGCTCTAAACCTGCATCCAAGTCATTAATAAAGAATGTTGAACAGTGATTGAGAGGATGTCTCTGGGTCCGAGAAAGGGTCTTGGGGTCCCTCTGACCCTTTCTCAGTCCATTGTGTCTCTGCAGATGGGTCTCCTGTTGCAACTGCTGTTGGCCTTGGGCCTCTTGGTCCTTCCCTCTGCCTCCGAGTGCCCCCCGTCCCAGCAGGGCAATGACACGGGCCCTTGCGAGTGCCTGCGGATGTCCCGCATCTTCCGCGACTGCCTGCGATGCCCACCGGAGCTGGGCTGCCAGTGCGTTGCCCCTGACAGGCGCCTCCTCAACGTGACCGACTTCTACGGCCGCTCCTGCTGGGGCCCGCCAGCCAACATCGTCTACGTGGCCTTCGTGGTGCCCATCATGGGCGCCATCCTCATCCTCGCCATGGGATACTTGATTGTCCGAAGCCGGAAGCAGGCCCCGTCAGTGGCGGGAAGCAGCAAGAGGTCCTCCGACGCCTCCGAGGCCCAGTCCCGCTATGCCAACCAGGGATCGAGGACCGACTATGAGAACATCTTCATGGACAGACAACCACGGCGAGACAGGGGAGCCTCCAAAAGCAGGTAAGGTCCTCCAAAAAGAGGCTCAAGGGCTCCCTAGAGGGGATGACAGAGTTGTAGGGCCTGGGGTGCATCTACTGGGGCAGAAATGAAGAATATTCTCTCTAACATCATATAGAGCAGTGGCTCCCAACCTGTGGGCCACACAGGTCCATGGCTCTAGATGATTAAATACAGTTTTCTGTGGGTGAGAAGATGGAGACTGCTGGATGGCATATGTTCTGTATCAGAAACTGAAGCTGATGTTGCCTATCCAATGCAATTTTCTGAATCAGCACCCCAAATAACCAAACCGAATCTAAAGTTGACCAAAAACCAGGGGCGGCTCAACCATTATGCAAAGTAAGCATTCGCAGTATAGTTGATTTTGCCCAGGGGCGCTCTTGAGGTGCTCTTGGGGGAAAATAGACCTTGATATATGCGAGTTGTAGCTCCTGGGATGTATAGTTCACCTACAATCAAAGAGCATTCTGAACTCCACCAATGATGGAGTTGAACCAAATATGGCACACAGAACTCCCACGACGAACAGAAAATATATATCAGTGATTGGTTGGCGGGGGGGGGGGGGGCACCAAAATACTGTTTGCTTACCGTTAAAAATTACCTAGGGCCGCCTCTACCAAAAACTGATTTATAACCCTTTTGGTACTAATGTTGGGGAGTGGTCCCTGGTCAAAAATAGGTTAGGAACCACTGTTACAGAGGATAGGGATCCATCAATCACTGGAGGGCACATTTGGGCCCTCCAGGTATTTTTGGACTTCAGCTCCCACAATTCCTAACAGCCAATTATGCCCATGTCTGATTGGTTTATGGATTATTTTAGTGGATAGTTTTAACGTACTCCTTTTATGATCCATTCCCACAGATATTTTATAAACATCATGTAGATTCAACTCCATACTATGGATTTTTCACAATTATTATTCTAATAATAATAATAATAATAATAATAATAATAATAACAATAATAACAACAACAATAATAATATAATTATAATATTAACAAATCGTGTTCAATTTCTTCTTATCTTTCTGGTCTTCAGGCCACCCCAAGTGCCGTATGCTGCCGGACCTCATGGAGAGCAACCCATCTATGCCAACGCCCAGGGTGTCTATTACAACTACATCCCGCCGCCGGCCCCTGGGGTCCATCAGGAACCCCTCTACGTCCGTCCAGATCACTGAATGGGAAAAGGACCTTTTCCAGCAGCCCCTATGGGCCACCCAACCCCTTTCCCCACTACTTGCTGTCTTCTGGATTTTTATGGATGTATTAAATCCGTTTCTTTAGTGACCTTTTCTGCTTGCAATGGAGAGAATAGAAGTGTGCAAAGCAGCTGAAATCCAATTAGTAATTCACTTTAGAGATCCTGATTGCCTCCCCCCACCCCAGCCTGCTTTATTTTGTAAAGATTCAGAGGGGTCCTGTTTCGTAATCTGAATCTTCATAATTATTTCATTAAGATTTGTTCCATTAGCAGCAATGGAAAAAATTCAGAGGCTTGTTTCTCCATCATTTTTACAGCTGTCAGGATGCAACTTGGTACACTCGAAGGCAACATTGACAACTTTAAGTCTGCCAAGTTTCAGAATGTTTTGGTCATCCACTGATTTTTAGAAAAATTTAAAAAGTTTTTACAAATCAAAGGAGGAGACCACCTTTGCAGCTGAAAGCCATGTGATTGGCTGACAAAGAAAAAAAACAGCATGCAGGTGCCATTGTCAATCACATCAGCCCCCTCTATTGGGCTTGAGGCTTGTTTCTCTGTAATTATGCAGCTATCAGGATGAAATTTGGTACACCTGTAGGAAAGGTTTATGGCTTCAAGCCTTCCAAATTTCAGAATATTTTGGTCATCCACTGATTTTTAGGAAAATTTTTAAAAATATTACAAATCAAAGGAGGAGACCACCTTTGTAGAAAGCCATGTCATTAGTTGACAAGGAAAAAAGAAATCAGCATTCAGATGTCATTGTCAATCACATCACCCCCCTCTAATAATAATAATAATAATAATAATAATAATACTTTATTTGTACCCCGCTACCATCTCCCCAAGGGACTCGGTGCGGATTACATGAGGCCGAGCCCAAATACAACAATACAAGCAACAAAACAACAATACAAAGTAATTAAAATAAAAAACATAGACAATAAAATATACAACATTATCAATAAGACAGCACACAATTAAAAAACAGTGGGAAGGCTAAATGTAAAATTAAAATTGGAAATAATGTTGGGACATGGACGAAAGGTGATAGTGGTGTTTGTGGAAGGGCATACGAGCAGACCTAAAGAAATGTAAAGTGCTTTGTAGGACAAAGTGCTATGGGATCATTATTCCGGGAAGGCACACTGGAACAGCCACGTCTTCAAGCTCCTCCTGAAGACTGCCAGAGTTGGGGCCTGTCTGATGTCTTTAGGGAGTGAGTTCCAGAGTCGAGGGGCCACCACCGAAAAGGCCCTCTCTCTCGTCCCCACCAAACGCGCCTGCGATGCTGGTGGGATCAAGAGCAGGGCCTCTCCGGATGATCGAAGGGATTGAGAGGGTTCGTATATGGAGATGCGGCCACACAGGTAGGCAGGTTCCAAACAGTTCAGGGCTTTGTAGGTAAGAACCTGTACCTTGAATTGGGTCTGGTAAATGAATGGCAGCCAGTGGAGCTCCCTGAACAGGAGGGTTGACCACTCCCTGTAAGGAGCCCCAGTTAACAACCTGGCTGCCGCCCGTTGGACTATCTGGAATTTCCGAGCCGTTTTCAAGGGCAGCCCCACGTAGAGTGCATTGCAGTAATCCAGTCTAGAGGTGACTAAGGCGTGGACCACTTTGGCCAGATCCGCCAAAGTTGGCGCACAAGTCTTAGTTGTGCAAAGGCCCTCCCGGCCACCACCGACACCTGAGCCTCAAACGTAAGTGAAGAATCCAGGAGGACCCCCAAACTGCGGACCTGTGACTTCAGGGGGAGCGCTTGTTTCTCTGTCATTTTTTTTGCTATCAGTGTGAAACTCGGCACACTTGTAGGCAACGTTGATGACTTCAAGCCGTCCAAATTTCAGAATATTTCAATCATCCGCTGATTTTTAGGATTTTTTAGCAATGTTTTACAAATCAAAGGAGGAGACCAGATTTGCAGAAAGCCATGTGATTGGCTGACAAGGGAAAAAAACGGCATGCAGGTGCTGTTGTCAATCAAACCAGCCTTCTCTATTGGGCTCGAGGCTTGTTTTGCCATCATTTTATGGCTATCGGAATGAGGGAAGGAACTTGTAGGCAATATTTATGACTTCAAGTCTACCAAGTTTCAGAATGTTTTGGCCATTCACTGATTTTTAGGAACTTTAAAAAAGTTTTTGCTAATCAAAGCAGGAGACCAGCTTTGCAGAAAGTTGTTTTGCCCTGCAGGGGGCACCCTCGCTCTCCATCAGGAGGAAGAGAGGCCGATCTCATGGGACTACTCTATTGGGATTTCAATAGGGTCTCTTTATGGCGAGCCGTAAAAGTTTATTATAGTAGATTTGGAGGCAATTTGCTTACTTCTTTCGACACTGCTTTGAGTAGGCATAGCCTTCCCCTTTCCAGGCATTCAAGAACATGTATCTACACTGTTGAATGAATGCAGTTTTGACACTGCTTTAAGTGCTATGCTATATACCAGGGGTCCCCAAACTACGGCCCGTGGGCCACTTCCGGCCCGCCAAGGGCCCCGATATGGCCCGCGGAGGAGGAGCGCCCCCCCCACACACAGTGCCCCTCCGTTGGCTGGCTCACGCTATCCGTCAGGCCCGATGGACAGCGTGAGCCAGCCAAGGGAGGCTGTTCTGCGTGGTCTACTCGCGCGTAAAGCACCTCGCGAGGTGCTTTACTCATAAGTCGGCCGCGCAGGCCTGCTCCTCCCTTGGCAGGCTCATGCTGTCCATGGGGCCCGATGGACAGCGTGAGCCAACCAAGGGAGGCTGCCCTGGCGCTCCATGCAGTCATGCTGGCCACATTACCTTGGAGGTGTCTACGGACAATGCCAGCTCTTCGACTTAGAAATGCAGATGAGCACCACACCCCAGAGTCAGACACGACTGGACTTCATGTCAGAGGAAAACCTTTAACCAGGAAAATTGTGGAAGATCCTGGGTGGGAGAAAGAACTCTTGTCTGTTGGAGGTAGGTATGAACGTTTCAATTGGCCACCTTGATTGCCATTTCATAGCCTGACAGTTTTTAGGGAGAATCCTTTGTTGAGGGGTGATTAGCTGGCCCTGATTGTTCCTTGTCTGGAGTTCCCCTGTGTTTGAGTGTTGTTCTTTATTTACAGTTATAATTTTAGAGTTTTTTTTAATACTGGTAGCCAGATTTTGTTCAGACTAGAAATAGGAAGATTTCCCATTCTCTGCTCCTGGAATTACTGCCTAAAGAGGGCTAGAAAGAACCCCCTCGAAGGGTCCTTCCACACAGCAAAATAAGATATGTGCAATGTGCATAGGAATTTTTTAATTGATTTTTTTTTTAAAAAAACTATAGTCCGGCCCTCCATTGGTCTGAGGGACAGTAAACTGGCCCCCGGTTTAAAAAGTTTGAGGACCCCTGCTATATACAAAAGCTATGGCCGACTTGAAGACACAATAGTTTTTGTTTTCATTGATTTAAAATGCTTCTAGCCTATAATGGAGGTGGTCTTTCTCCATGGTTGTTAAGATAGGACCAATTAGGAAATGACATTGATAACCCAGGAACAAAAATCGTATTACATAGTGTAATTAAGAGGGGCCCCCAAAGGCCATCTAGTCCATGCAAGAAGAACACAATCCAAGTCCTCCCTTCTTCTTCTTCTTCTTATGAAAGACTGGAAACCCCTTGCAAACGTTTGCTTTCGGTGAAGAAAGAACCAGGCGTCAAAAGACAAGAATATGTCGTAATTTGGGGGAATATAATACGCAGGAAGGAAGATCAGAAGTCACTTTGCTCTCACTGTCTTCTATTTCTTATTTTTTACCTCCCTCTATGTTCCTTTCCTTCTATGTTGCTTTCCTTTCCTGTAATGTATTTCAAATAATAATGATAATAATGACAACAACATACAAAGAGAAGTATAAAGGGCCCGTCCTGAGTAGTGGAAAACGAAGGGACCCTAAAGGTCATCTACTCTGACCTGTAAAGGTCATCTACTCTGACCAGTCTTAGCCAATTATTATTATTATTATTATTATTATTATTATTATTATTATTATTACTATTATTGTTAGTCTTGAGTCTTAGCTCTTAAAGTGGGGCTATGTCTCCATTCTATTGTGAAGATGTATTATTATTATTATTATTATTATTATTATTATTATTATTATTATTAAACCAAAGTAAAAGTGGCCCCTTTGATGAGGTCAGCCAACTGCTTTGCCCCCGAGGGTCAATTCCTTGCCCACCCAAATATGAGAAGCAGTCTGTTTACAACCGAGCGAAACCCAGTTCCTAGAAAACCAACCCTGCGAGCCCCTCTGGGCATCTCCGCCCGGATCAAGAACCTGTAATTTCAGGCTCAGCCCGGCAGGCAAAGCAGCTAAGGAGTGGCATCTGGAGAAAAACACCGGCCGGGGGGGGGGGGGGGGGTCTAAGGGGGTAATCAAGGCTCTGTCCAGACCCATTTTACAGCTATATAACAGATTAAAGGGCTTTGCCATTTAATATCAGGATTAAAAGCGGCCCAAGTTTGCATGACCGAATGCGAAAGGCCTCCTAAAGGCCATGTAGTCTATACCCATCCCCGGTAAACAAATTCTCCCTTGGTTTGCGGCAACTGAAGCCAAGGAGAAAACACAGGAGGAGGAAGAGAAAACTGGAACTATAGAGGACAAATGGGGGCTATCTTTAACTGTAGGGTTTTGGAAGAAATGAAGGGGGAAAAGGAAGAAAGGAAGGCTGGGGGGAAATAAGGAAAGGGGGGGGGAGAAGGAAGGAAATAAGGAAGGGAGGGAGGAAAGGAGCCAAAAGAGAGAAGGAAAGAAGGAAGGATGAATGGAAGAACAGATGAAAGGAACGAGGGAGGGAGGGAATGAGGAAAGGAGGGAGGAAAGGAAGAAAGGAAGGAAATAAGGAGGGAAGGAAGGAGGGAGGGAAGGAAGGAAGGAAGAAGGAAGGTAGGTGGTTAGGTAGGTAGGTAGGTAGGGGGAAAGGAGTGAAATAGGAAGGAAGGTAGGAGGAAATAATAAAGGGAAGAAATAAAGAAGGATGGAGGGAAATAAGGAGGGAGGGAGGGAAGTAAGGAAGGCTGGAGGGAAATAAGGAAATGGGAGGGAGGGAGGGAGGGAGGGAGGGAGGGAGGGAAGGAAGGAAGGAAGAAGGAGGAAGAAGGAAGAAGGAGAAGGAAGGAGAGGAAGGAAGAAAGGAAGGAAAAGGAAGGAGGAAGGAAGGAATGAGGAAAGGAAGGAAGGAAGGAGGAAGGAAGGAAGGAAGGAGGGGAAGGAAGTGGGAGGAAGGAAGGAAATAAGGTGGGGGGGAAGGAAGGAAGAAGGAAGGAAGAAAATAAGGGGAAGGAAGGAAGAAAGGAAGGAAGGGAGAAGGAGGGGGAAAGGAGGAAGGGAAGGGGAAAGAAGGAAGAAAAAGAAGGAGGAGGAAAAGGAAGGAAGGAAGAAAGGAAGAAGGAAGAGAATGAGAAGGAAGGAAGGAAGGAAGGAAGGAAGGAAGGAAGGAAGGAAGGAAGGAAGGAAAGAAAGGCGGCCAGATGGACGGAAGGACAGAGGGAGGGAGAGAAGGAGGGAAAGAAATAAGGAGGGAAAGAAAGAAGGTGGGAAATAAGGAAAGATGTAGGGAGGGAAGAAAGGAAAGTAGAGAAAGAAGAAAGGATGGAATGAAAGAGGGACAGGAGGAAGGAATGAAGGTTGACCCCATCTCGGTTTCTCCGCCACCTCTGCCCCAGATGCCAAGGGCTGCTTGGTGAACTTTGGGGCCTGGGAACATGGAGAAAACATGTTTGGCTCGCCTTGGGTCAGGGAAGGAGGAGAACAGTGGTTGGCAAGGCGGGGGCGCCCCTTGGCCCCTGAGTCAGCGCCTGAGGGACAGGTGACAAGCCCAGAGGAGGAGGAGGGGGGGCTTATATTTTAAGCATCCTCAAAGATCCTGAAATAACATGCTAGGGCTTATTTTGAGGGTAGGTCTTGTTTTCAGAGAAAGAGGGACTACATGTACAAATAAAGGAAGACCAGTTGGCAACAGAATGCAGCAGGGCACAGAAACCCTTTTTACCCAGGAAAACAGACAAGTTACACTCAGAAACCACCCCCCGCCCCAAAAAAAAACTAATAAAAGGAAGGGTTTGGAGAGTGGTGATGATGTTCCAGAGGATGATGACACGTCTGTTTAATCAACTTGTCCCATTTTTTCATGATAGAAGCAATTAGGAAATGGCATTGATCACCCAGGAACAACAATCGTGTTATGTTGCGTTTTCGGGTAAACAGGCTAGATCCGCCAGGTGGGTTTGGCATGTGGCACCACCAAGGGCACAGAGCTCTGAATGGCTGCCGAGAAAGCGGAGGAGGATTTCCCAAGGCCAAAGTGCAAACAACACACACAGGAGAGATCAAGTGGCATCCCTGTGAAGGGTTTTCCCCAAGGCCGCAGCAGCCAAGGCCCTGAATGCCAAGGACAGGCAAAGGATGGGCAGGAGGCAAAGGTTTCAGACACGGAGACAGCAACAAAACGGGATTTGCCCCATGGCATTCCTTTGGGCTCAAAGGGAGGAAGGGAAGGGGGAAGGAGGAAGGAAGGAAGGAGGAAAATAAGGGAGGAAGGAAGGAAGGAAGGAAGGAAGGAAGGAAGGAAAGAAATAATGAAGGAAGGAAGGAGGGAAATAAGGGAGGAAGGAAATAAGGAAGGAAATCAGGGACAGAGGGAAGGAGGGAAAAAAGGAAGGAAATAGGAAGAAGAGAGGAAGGGAAGGAAAGAAGGAAGGAAATGTAGGCGAGAAGAGTGGAATAGAAATGCTTCTGGCCCCTGAGTGGCAATGGGGTTGAATCCCCAACAAAAATGCAACATTTGAATTGGGCGAGTCACGCTCTCTCAGCCTCAGAGGAAAGCCCAGGGATAATGGTCCAAGCGCCCAGCGGCTGTTCTGGAGACTCAGGTTCGAATCTCAGCTCAGAGACAGAAACCTACAGGCACCTCATACTCTGTTTCAGCTTTAGAGGAAAGCAAAAGCAAATGGGGTGTGTGTGTGTGTTTTAATATCCACCGCAATCAAGATGCCCTTCGCTCCATTTGTGATCCAGGAATTTTATTGATCGTCTTCCCCTTCCAAACATATCTTATAATAAATAATATCAATAAAAACACCATCAACAAAAACCCCAAACAAATCCAAGAATAAGTTAACAAATAAATAAGGCAGGATAACAACATTTACAAATAGCCTGAGGTCCTTCATGAGCAGATCTGACCCCAATGTTTAAGATGGATGTCCAAAGCCCTCACCCCCAATATTATTATTATTAAAGTGCGAATAATTTATCATTCAAGGAGGTAATAAAAGTGACCTAGCCAAAGGGAAAGATGGATGGATGGATGGATGGATGGATGGATAGATTGGATAGATAGATAGATAGATAGATAGATAGATAGATAGATAGATAGATAGATAGATAGATAGATGGAATCCTAGAATTGGAAGAGACCCCAAAAGCCATCCAGTCCAACACATTCCTTCCTTGCAGGAAATACAATCCAAGCCCTCCCAGCAGATGGCCATTCAGCCTCTGCTTATTATTATTGATAATAATAATATCGTGCTTCTTCTCTCCCAAAGGAGAATCAGAACATTAATAATAATAATAATTAAGTCTCTTTTCGGAGAGAAGAAGCAAGATATCAATAATAATAATAATAATAATAATAATAATAATAATAATAATAGTGTTCTGAGTCTCCTTTGGGAGAGAAATATTATTATTATTATTATTATTATTATTATTATTATTATTATTGATATCTTGCTTCTTCTCTCCGAAAAGAGACTCAGAACACCTATTATTATTATTATTATTATTATTATTATTATTAATAATAATAATATCTTGCTTCTTCTCTCCCAAAGGAGACTCAGAACACCTATTATTATTATTATTATTATTATTATTGATATCTTGCTTCTTCTCTCCGAAAAGAGACTCAGAACACCTATTATTATTATTATTATTATTATTATTATTATTAATAATAATAATATCTTGCTTCTTCTCTCCCAAAGGAGACTCAGAACACCTATTATTATTATTATTATTATTATTATTGATATCTTGCTTCTTCTCTCCGAAAAGAGACTCAGAACACCTATTATTATTATTATTATTATTATTATTATTAATAATAATAATAATAATATCTTGCTTCTTCTCTCCCAAAGGAGACTCAGAACACCTATTATTATTATTATTATTATTATTATTATTATTATTATTGATATCTTGCTTCTTCTCTCCGAAAAGAGACTCAGAACACCTATTATTATTATTATTATTATAATAATAATAATAATAATAATAATAATATCTTGCTTCTTCTCTCCCAAAGGAGACTCAGAACACCTATTATTATTATTATTATTATTATTATTATTATTATTAGTGATAATAATAATATATTGTTTCTTCTCTCCCAAAGGGATGGGAAAATAAAACCATGGGATGCATCAATGCTGTAGAATGGATGCCTCACCAAATTACAAATCCCAGCATTGCATAGCATTGAGTCGTAGCTGTTGAATGAGAGAAACGGTCCCTCAAAGAGAAGCTCCAGAAGCAACTTCCCCTTTAGCTTTGGTTCAGGACTAAGATGACCACATGATGCAAATCTAATGCGCACCCTAGTGTTGGCAAGGTCATTGAGTCCCAAAAGGTGAGCATTAGAATTGAGTAAATGTGGTATGTTGCCAAAACAACAAATCCCAGCATTGCATAGCATTGAGTCATAGGCACTGAATGAGAGATGAGGTCCCTCAAAGAGAAACTCCTGAAGCAGCTTCCCCTTTAGCTTTAGCTCAGGACTAAGATGACCATATGATGCAAATCTAATGCGCACCCTAATGTTAGCAAGCTCATTGAGCCCCAAAAAAGTGAATGTTAAGATTCGAGTCAATGCGGGCATAATACAGATAGATATAGATATCTGCCATTATGCGCAGTGGCAGCGTGTGACGATCATGTCCTCGAAGACTTGTGCGACGACCTTCCCGTCATCCCCGTAGTGCATGAGGACCATGGGCTCGTAGCCGGCTGGGACGCAGCAAGGGGCTGGAGCCTCTCCTGAGAGGCTGTGCAGCCGAGCCTTGATCTGGGCGTGGATGCTGGCTGGCTTGTAGTTGTGCGGGCAGGAGCCTTGACAGAACTTCATGGAGTAGCTGCGGGGGGCTACCACCCAGTCAGACCAGCCGATGGCCTCGAAGGAGACCTTGAGCGAGCGCAGGCAGCACTTCCCCTCACCTTTGCTGCACTCCTCGTCCTCCGTGTCAACTTGCTGCGCTTGCCGCACTTTCCGCACCGGGCGCTGACGTTCCCGGGTCTCCACCTCCATCATTTGCTCAAACTCCACTGGTATAGAAAATGCCAAGACCAAATGGAGGCTTGGCTCCGGACCAGCCAGCCACGCCGACACGAAGTCCCGGAGGTCAAGCGTCAGTGTCGACGGAGAGACCGAAACGGTCGGAATGTGATTCCTGCTTAACTTGCCTTCGTCCAGTTTGTAGACGTGGGCGCCAGTCACATTACCAAAAAGAGTTAGTTCGGCCCGGAGGACATGGAGATCGCGGCGGAGGGTGGCTGTTCTAGACACTTCCAGGCTGTAGAGCTGTCCGGGTTGGCCCTCCGAAGCGTCAGGTTCCATTAGTTTCACTGCCAAGAGAAGAAGCGGAAGAGAGTTAAGGGTTGCCAATGGCAGGACCTGCTTCCAATATTGTGCCCCACCTCAAGCCATAAGGAGAGAAGGGTTATCATAATTTCAAATAATAATAATAATAATAATAATAATAATAATAATAATAATATAATAATAATAATAACAGAGAAGAGCAATCATTATTTCAAATAATATCATAATAATGATAGAGAAGGGTAATCATAATTTCAAATATAATAATAATAATAATAATAATAATAATAATAATAATGATAGGGAAGGGTAATCATAATTTCAAATAATAATATAGTCACAAAGAGTCGGAAGCGTCTGAACGAATAAACAACAACAATATAATAATAGTAATTTTAATAATATTAATAATTTTAATAATAATGGCAATAATAATAGTAATTATTATTCTTAACAACAACGACATGAAAAGAGAAGTAAAAAGCAGGATCTTTTGTTACATAGTGTTACGATTATCCCTTGTACATCAGCAGCAGTTCCAATTTTTCAGCTGCTCTTAATAGGCTTTTCCTGGAAGAAGCTACTTTTCAAGAACTGTCCCTCCAGGGCAAGCAGCCCTCACTTGAACCCAGGGCTACGGAGGACAAGGACTATATATATATATATATATATATATATATATATATATATATATATATATATATATAGTGTATCAGGGGTCCTCAAACTTTTTAAACAGAGGGCCAGGTCACAGTCCCACAAACTGTCGGAGGGCCGGATTATAATTTGAAAAAAAACTTGAATGAATTCCTACGCACACTGCACATATCTTATTTGTAGTGCAAAAACACTTAAAAACAATACAATAATTAAAATGAAGAACAATTTTAACAAATATAAACTTATTAGTATTTCAATGGGAAGTGTGGGCCTGCTTTTGGCTGATGACATAGGATTGCTGTTGTTGTGTGCTTTCAAGTCATTTCAGACTTAGGTTGACCCTGAGCGAGGGCCAGGTAAATGACCTTGAAGGGCCATATCCGGCTCCTGGGCCTTAGTTTGAGGACCCCTGGTGTATATATATAGTGTATATATAGTGTGTGTGTGTGTGTGTGTGTATATATATACTAGTCGTCCCTTGCCACGCGTTGCTGTGGCCCACTCTGGTGGTCATGGGGGTTCTGTGTGGGAGGTTTATCCCAATTCTATCGTCGGTGGGGTTCAGAATGCTCTGTGATTGTAGGTGAACTATAAATCCCGGCAACTACAACTCACAAATGTCGAGATTCTATTTTCCCCAAACTCCACCAGTGTTCACATTTGGGCATATTGAGTACTTGTGCCAAGTTTGGTCCAGATCCATCATTGTTTGAGTCCACAGTGATCTCTGGATGTAGGTGAACTACAACTCCAAAACCAAAGGACACTGCCCACCAAATCCTTCCAGTATTTTCTGTTGGTCATGGGAGAACTGTGTGCCAAGTTTGGTTCAATTCCATTGTTGGTAGGGTTCAGAATGCTCTTTGCTGATAGGTGAACTATAAATCCCAGCAAGTACAACTCCCAAATGACAAAATCATAATTTTTTGAGTGATGGTCACTCCTTGTGTTGTGAGACGTTTTGTTGCCAAATTTGGTGTGATTTCATTCATTGGTTCATTGGTTCTTTTGTTTTTAGGGTACTCATTACATACAGAGCATATATATATATATATATATATATATATATATATATATATATATATATATCTGGTTGATTGGTGGTATCACCATTTGGGGGGCGGTCAGTCCTTCCTTCGATAGCTCTTGGTTGCTTTCTGCTTGGAGGCTTCCTGTGCTCATCATGGTCTTAATTCTGGTGTTGCAAATTGCATCCTTTACACTTGTATAAGAGAAAGTAGGTTTTTTTCCTCCCACCCGTACAGCCCAAAAAACCACACAACAACAGGATAAACAACTTCAAAAGAGTATGAGCGGGTTCACATACCTCTTGGCCACAAATAGTGGACAATGGGATCTGGCGTCCACGTACGGTTGGCTTGGAGCTGGGTTTGGATCTCCTGGTAGCGTCGCCAGGCATCTCTCACCACATCAGCGTCCAGGGATTTCCGAATGGCGGGACGAGTTTCCAAGCCAAGTTGGGAGAGAATGGTTTGCTTGATGGCTTCCATATCGCCATAAGCTTTGTCGCGATGGCCCCATTGCGGAGGAGGCCGCGACTGAACATCAGAGAGATTGAAGACAAGGAAGAAGAAGAAGAGAAAGAGGCATTGGACGCAGGTGGGCATCCCGCCGGCTGGACTGGAATGAACGAGTGAAGGGAACCAGCAGCGTCCTGTTTATATACCCCTGCCTGACTCACCGCGTTGCGTCACTCTGGCCATAAAGAAGCCACAAGACAAGAGGAAAGCCTGCAAACGGTGCAGAGAGACTAGTGTGCAATGAGATAAAGCTGAACTGAGGTCTAGTTTGAGCAGCTTTGGCCTGGCACAGGAGGCTTCAAGTGTAGGGTAGAGATACCTTGGCGTTTAAAAAGGGTAGCAAAGAGTTACCTTTTCAGACGCTTTCTACGCCGGTTGGCAAGTGAGTTTCTTTGCAAATTATCCAGACAGAGATGAGCAAAATAGCCAATTCTGTCATGTGATGCTATTCATTGCTCTCACCTTTAAAATGGTACCATTACCCAATTTGTGGAAGGAGCTAGAATGTCACTTTGAGAAAAAACACCACCATTACCTTTTGCTCATGCAGGAGGAAAGATCGGCAGTATGTTGTATTCCTTTCTGTCTCATGCACTTTCTGGGGGCCTGCCTTCCTTCCGTGTGTTGTGTATGCTGTGTATTACCTCCTCCTCCTCTCCTCTCCCTTCCTTCCTTCTGTGTGTTGTGTGTGCCATGTGTTACCTCCTCCTCCTCTCCTTCCTACCTTTCTTCCTCCCTCCCTCCCTTCTGTGTGTTGTGTGTGCCATGTGCCTTCCTTCCTTCCTTCCTTCCTTCCTCCTTCCTTCCTTCCTTCCTTCCTTCCTTCCTTCCTGTGTTGGGTGTGCTATGTGTTATCTCCTCCTCTCCGCTCCTTCCTCCCTTCCTTTGGAGTGTTGTGTGTGCCATGTGTTACCTCCTCCCCTCCTCTCCCTCCCTTCTCTGTGTTGTTGTGCGTGCCATGTGTTGCCTCCTTGTGTGAACATGTGTTACCTCTTCATCCTCCTCCTCTCTGGCGCCCGTGGTCTGCTGACGGTCGTTGGGGGGGGGTGGGGGCCAGTGTGGTAACCGTGGCGCCGGCGCTGCTCCCCGCCCGCCCCGCTCCCGGTCCGTCCTGCTGGGTGTGTGGGTGGGCGGTGGGTGACCTCGAGCCGCCCTCCTCGCTGCTCCTGCCCTGTCCTTCCTTGCCTGCCTTCGGCCGGCCGTCCGGCCGGTGCGGCTTCCTGCCGGCTGGCCGGCCGGCCTTCACGGGTCCGTCCTGCTCTTCCTGGGGTTGTGACAGGGCTGAGCTGGTCCTCCCCGCGGGCCGGGCTTCCTCCCTGCCCGCCGGCGGTGTGGGGTGTTGGCCAGGGGTGTACTCGGCCGCCTTCTCTCCTCTCCTTCATGTCCTTGTCCTTGCCTTGTGTTGGGTGGACCAGTGGGGGAGCGCCGCCTCGCCGTGCTTCCGCCCTCATTTCGGTGCCTTCCCGCCCGTCGTCGGTGTTGTGGGTGCCATTGGTGTTACTTCCGCCTTCTCTCCTTCCTTCTGTCAGTGTGTTGTGTGTGCCATGTGTTATCCCCTTCTCTCCTCGCTCCCTCCCTTCTGTGTTGTGCATGCCATGTGTTGCCTCCTCATCTCCTCTCCTCCCTCCCTCCCTCCCTTTCTTCCTTCCTTCTCTGTGTTATGTGTGCCATGTGTTACCTCCTCCTCTCCTTCCTTCCTTCCTTCCTTCCTCCCTCCCTCCCTCCCTCCCTCCCTCCTCTTCCTTCCTTCCTTCCTTCCTTCCTTCCATCCATGTGTTGTGTGTGCCATGTGTTATCTCCTCCTCTCCTCTCCACTCCTTCCTCGCTCACTCCCTCCCTCCCTTGCTAGTGTGTGATGGAGGCAGGAAAATCATCCATTTAATTTCAAAATGGAGTATGTATGGCAATCTACTCTTCCAAACACTTGACATGTTCAGACAGCTCTGGTCACCTTGGTGGATGACCTTCACAGAGTGCTAGACAAGGGGAGTATGTTCCTGTTGGTTCTCCTGGACCCCTCGGCGGCTTTCAATATCATTGACCATAGTACCCTCCTAGGTTGTCTCGCTGAAATGGGACTGGGAGGCACTGTCTTACAATGGCTCCAGTCCTTCCTGGAGGGCCGTACGCAGAAGGTGGTGCTGGGGGCCTCCTGTCTGAACCCTTAGCCTTTGACCTATGGGGTTCCTCAGGATTCTGTTTTGTCCCCCATGCTGTTCAACATATACATGAAACCGCTGGGAAAGGTCAACTGGAGTTTTTGAGTGCAGTGTCATGAATATGCAGATGACACCTAACCCTACTACTCCTTTCCACGCTCTGGTCACCTTGGTGGATGACCTTCACAGAGTGCTAGACAAGGGGAGTATGTTCCTGTTGGTTCTCCTGGACCCCTCGGCGGCTTTCAATATCATTGACCATAGTACCCTCCTAGGTTGTCTCGCTGAAATGGGACTGGGAGGCACTGTCTTACAATGGCTCCAGTCCTTCCTGGAGGGCCGTACGCAGAAGGTGGTGCTGGGGGCCTCCTGTCTGAACCCTTAGCCTTTGACCTATGGGGTTCCTCAGGATTCTGTTTTGTCCCCCATGCTGTTCAACATATACATGAAACCGCTGGGAAAGGTCAACTGGAGTTTTTGAGTGCAGTGTCATGAATATGCAGATGACACCTAACCCTACTACTCCTTTCCACCTAATGCTAAGGAAGCTGTCCTGACCTTAAACCAGTGCCTGTTATCAGTAATGGATTGGGTGAGGACAACCAAATTAAAGCTTAATCTAAACAAGTAGAAGGTGTTCCTATTAGCTGTAAAACAGATCTGGGAATAAGGAGTCAGCCTATGCTAGATGAGGTTTTACTCCAGGATTCAGTGCTGAACCTGGAGGCCTAGGTATCAACAGTGACCTGGAGAACTA